AAAGTCCGAGAAACAAACATTTGTCCAACAATCAGCCGACAACAAATGGACAAACAAGACGAGACATCTGCATCTGTCCGCTCACCTGAAGACTCACCTGAGTTGTGACAGGTCGTGGTCCGTTCCCCTGATCCCCTGATCCCCCGATCCCCCGACCCCCCGACCCCCTGCCCTCTGCCTGCCCCGCCCCCTTGAAAAATGAAATCTCCAAGAGGAGGAGGTCGGTGAATGCCCTGCCTTCGAGTGGCGACTGCAAATGAGTCAACAGCCTGGCAAACATGAATGCAAATATGAATATGCAGAATACCCTTCACCAACTGAACAACATACTCAAAGCTTTGAGTTGGAAAATCTGTGGTAATATAATGGTGAAGACTGCTCCAGTTTTTAAGGCTGTTCACCATTCCAAAGGCTTTTGATTTCTTTTATTTTAGCCTTAAAGTTGAATAATTTTAATTATAAATACATAATAAAATCTTTAATAGTAAGTAAGCAATTCAAGAACCATAAACATAAACAAACAAATTTATTTAAGATTTAATAATCAATAGCAATACTAGTTGCATAGGCTTAAAGTAAATTATATTAAAAAAAATATTATAATGAGTGGCAAGCTTTTTACAAATTGTGAACTTATCTGCACAACTTAAGTGGCTTTTAATGGATATCGTTCAGAGCCATCAAACGCCAAACATCAATGAACTTGGTGGATTTATGGCTCTCCCTCGGCGGCTTTCTGCACTCTGCTAATGACCAAATGCGTGCAGGTCTTGGCCAAATCGAACGGGGGCTGGGAGCACTTGGACAAATGGCCAATTACGATTGGCGACAACTACACAACACAACACCAAACAACAGCGATAGGTGGGAAACCCGTTCGGGGCGATGAAAAACATGGAAAAGATGAAAATGCAGCGAAAAATGTCGTATGTAAACGGTTGCCTTAATAATCGACATTGGTGGAAAGTTGCAACTGCCAGCCGGTTGTTGACCGCATCGATGTATATATATATATATATATATATCTCACAGTGTATATACATACATATGGCCAGCGCCTTGGAACCTGGAGTCTGGGCAAACGAAAGCAAAAGGATGGAATGGTATGGGGGATTGGACTCGCCCCTCTGGAGCAAACAAGTTCCCCCAGAAATTTCACTTTTTCTTTTGCCATTTCTTGGTTTTTTGGCTTGTTTTTAGCTCAGTTTTAGATTGACTCCTTTGGAAATCAGCAAAAGCGTTGCTAATTAAAGCAATCGCAAATTACACAAATAAATAATACCACTAATAATGAGCGTCTGGCAATCATTGCGATCGACTTGCGATACACCAGCAAGTGACGAGTTCAACGAACGGAAATGAATCGAAAATCGCAGGGAAAATCAGACATCTTCCCGACCAGAAGATAATCTCATTTTGATTGGCTCTGGCCCCGAAATTGGTCACAGAATTATTAGTCAAATTGAAATCGAATTAACCGAAAATGTGCCAGCAACAAACAATCAAAAATAATAGTGAGTGAAGTGTGGAAAAGAAAGGAAACTATAACGGGTAGAATATAAACATACCCTACAAAGATATTATAATGGTCTCAGAAGATATCCTAAGAAATTCATATAAATTAAGTATTAAAGTTTTTTTTTGGAATAGAATAATAACATTTTTGAAGACCCTAAAAAATTATTTAAGACTGATAGATGGTAATTCTTAGAAATCAAATCAAAACAACTACAAAAAGATATATAGGCATATTATATAGCATTCGTTTCGTTTTATATAACTATAATACATTGATTCTTCTTGCTGCGTTTTAAGTTTAGCATACCATCCATGTAGAGTATAATATATAATGCAAGAAATATTATTAAGCTCAGCGATTGCCATGCAATAATGAGCGAGTTTTCCGAAGGGGAAACCGGGGTGTGTGTGTGTGTGTGTGCAACTCCGAAACAAAACACAATTTTATGCGGTTTTATTATTACCCATTTTTTGTATTTTTTTCAGATTCTACGCCGCTCACGTCAGTGGAATCGGGTATGGATATGGGCACAGATAGATGGATATGGCCAGGCTGGTGTGGTCCGTCCATTTATCACGGCACTCGCTCTGGAACCGAGTGGCATGGCGGCACGTTGCACATAAACGCATTCGGCACTCGGTGGTTACAACACCAACGCCCGTCGTAATTATCGCAGCAAGTCGTATAATCAGAGCCGGCCCAAAGGGTTGTATAACTTAGGCAAATCAAGGCAAATGATACGTCGTGTTTTGCGGAGAAAGTCATCAACTATTCGTGGATCGACTATTTTGAGCCCGTTCACCATGGCCTGCGGTGCGGAAGATTTGTGTAGCTGGCTAAGTTCTTTAAGGTTTTATATATGAAAGTTTGTCTGCGATATAAACTGGAAATCCTAAACAATCAATGCACAACTGCATATAGATATGTTTGCTACTATAGATTCTAATAATAAATTCTCTAATACATCATATTTATGTTAAAAATATAGATCTTTCATAAATTAGTAAGTTATACTCGTCTTAAATCTTTATAAATAGAATATTCCCTTTAAACTAATAGTACTATTATTCAATAATGTTTATTAATATTATTTCTATTATAAACGTTTGACAACATTTGGCTTTATCCTTTTATCTTTTAAGCTACTTACATATAATATTTATTGATATTTTAAAAACATTAGTTTCCCACTTGAGTTTAATGTTATTGCCTTGATTGATATTTGATAATAAGGAAACCATAACCCTGGCATTTTATGTTTAAAAAAACCATTGCGCCCAAATGTAAGCTAGATATTTTACATCACGATTCTTTTCCATGCAATGTGGTTCTAGTGGTTAGAACTTACCGAGTAGCATTTCCTCAAGAGATCTGCAATAACCAGCTTTGTTAGTGAAGTTTGATTGATGGATTGCTTGCACTCACACACGATCACTCACAAAGAAAAGCACATGTTTTGCACAAGAAGTAATTCCATGTTTTCTTTTTCTATAAAGTAACTAAGCGGTGAAAAAAAAAATACAATTTTCAAAGTAGCAACTGCATTTTTCCAAATAAGATGTTAGTTCGTTGCTTAAGTCTTTTGTTTTGCTAGCGGTAAACGGTGGAAAAAGAGTCTGAAAATGCCTGGTTTTTTTCGTGGAGCGCGGCACGTGCTGAGCGAACAATGGTCGCGGCTTGTTTGAGTCGCAGGTCTCAACGCGGCGATCGGCGAAAGAGATGGCGTTGCAGTCGGCGAAAGAGACGGAGAAAGAGCCGGAGAAAGAGATGGCGCAAGAGACGATAGCACGGAGATTTGGACCAGCTTGGCCAGCGGTCGCCGAAGAAATGTAAAAGCCAAAAGCAGCGGACCCCAAAGAAGTGCCGAGCGAGAAAGCTCTCGGCCAGGCCTTCTTCTTGTTGTAGCCGCTGATGTTTATATGCTTATACATACACTTTCAGGGGGTATTTTAATTTATCCCTGATATTGATGGTGTTCAAACAAAAACAGAGTATTACAATTAGGTTTAAAAAGGGAGTACCAAAAATATTGTCTTTTCTTGCTAATAATACTAGTTAAAAATTTTAGATTTGCAATCTTAACTTGGTGTGTTGAGTTAATTTTGAATATGCATATTTTACAATGTTGAAACTTTTATTTTTAAGAAAAGATTTTCTTAGAGAGCAAAATCATTTCTTTTGTGGTGACTCTCTTTTAAATACCTGTATTATGTATTCAATTGTTTTAAGAAAAAAGGAAGATACTTGTTTTATAAAATATTAAATTAATTCAAATACATCTTGAACCCATTTTTGTAGTAAAGAGTATTCGAAGCTTGTGCACTATTTTTTCGTGTTACACCTGCTGTTGATGTAAACATCGGCTCATTCGAGTGCTACGTTTGTGTTTAGTTGATTTTCGATGCGCTTTTTGCACACTGCTAGACTTTTTCTTGCTCGCCTTTTTGTAGTTTCAGTATGCTGGAATTTTTTCTTTGTTTTGCCGCAGTGGTTGTTGCTGTTGTTGCTGTTGCTGTGGTGGGTATAATTTTATTCAATAGAATTTATGCTTTTTTATGGTCAAGCTGGTGGCGCGTCATGCGCGGAAACCTCATCGCTAACGGTTGTTTATAGCCAGTTTAAGGTTTTGTGCATAATTGTCTGGCTTGAGTCGTTCGTTGCTCTGGCTCTTTGAAGATCTTTTCCGCTGCAGAGGCCCATTTAAATGCAATCAATCACATCGACTTACGGCTAATTAGCCATTGCAATTTAATAGAAATACGAAAACACTTCATTAGCGCCGCCACTAATGAGGCAGCATCGCTTTACGACGTGTTTACATTGTCGCAATTGCCACTCCAAGTTCGATCTTTGAACTCGACATGCCACAAAGTGCATCGCATTGCAGTCGATCGAAGTTATCGCTTGATTTTGTGCTTGCAGCAATAAACTTAAAGAAAAGCGTGGCAAATTGCCACAAATTTAATTGATAATCGACACCCCGATTGCCCAATTACTTATTTTTCTTAATGGATTTGGTAATGCATAATCCATAAATTAAGTTAAGAGAAACTTAAGGTAGTTGGGGCTCAAATTGATTTCAAATTGGTCATGGTGCCAGGTACCCTAATAATTCAATTGTTTCTTCTTTTTTGTACATTTTTGAAGGGCTCTTAAGACTTTTCAAAACCGTTATAATAAAAAATACAAATATATGGTTGGTAATAAATAAATAAAACAAAACACACATTTTAGAAAGACTATTCTAATAATTGTATATAATTTGTATTCTGTTTTTTCTTTTTTTGCTTAGGTTAGGGTGATTTCGATTCAAAATAGCTTTAAAGTAAGCTACATTTATCAGGTATATAATTAATTGGTATATTTTAGATGTGAAACTTTTTAAAAGTTTAAAGATTGTTTGATTTTTTTTATTAATATTATATGTATAATTCTAACTGAAAAACATAACTAGTAATCAATTGGCAACGTTTGCACTCACCTAATGGCCGCCGGCTGCTGGTTGGCCAGCATCCGCATGCTGCCCCCAAATCGGTGCTGCTGCAGTGGATTCTGGTGCGGATCGAACTCCGGATCGGCGGGGTAGCCACTGCCCAGGCCTCTGCTGATCTGGCTGATGCGGCTCATCCTGCTGGCGTGCGATCCCCGCTCGGAATTGCACTTGGAGCCGCACAGGGAGTTCTCGCAGAAGCGGCAGCACTTGTTGTAGCTGAAGGTGGAGGTGCAGAGGGTGCAGAAGGAGTCCAGCTGGGATTCGGCTTGGTCGTCCTCCATGTCGGCGTCCTCGTTCACCGAGGCATCCATTTCCAGGCCATGATGGTGGCGCATTTTCAGGGTCTGGGTGTGACTGCTGCGATCCTCGTCGGAGCAGAAGTGATAAGGCTCACTTTCGGTGTCCTCCTCCTCGCCCAAGCTGCTGCCGGCACTGCCCTCCTGGCGTCCACCACCTCCTCCTCCTCCTCCACCTTGCGAGGCTCCAAAGCTGCTCAGCGGACACGAGGGATATCGGGTCAGGGGAAAGGGTCGCACATTGTACTTGCTGGCCATCGAGAGGTTCTCATTGAAGTAGATCACATTGGCCGAGGGCGCTGGACCAGGTCCCGCCCTCTCCCTCTCCCTCTCCCTGCCCATTTCCCGGTCCAGTTCCCGATCCCTGCTTATGCTGAGATCATGGTACTTCCGCAGGAAGGCCGCATTGCAATCGGCGGCCGTGTACTCGTGCAGTTTCTTCGGTTTTTGGGCGGGCACATGCGTCTGCTGTTTGTGGGGCTGGGTGTTTCCCTTGTTGTGATTCGAATTGCTGCTGTTGTTCGTGTTGCTGTTGCTGCTGCTGCCGCTGTTGTTGTTGCCGCTGGAGCGCAGCAGGTCGAAGAGGCGCTGCTTGAGGTCGCGCATTTTATCAAAAAGAACAGCCTACTAAGCATCAGATGAACAAAACAGCTACTCCATCTGGCCACATGGGGTTCTGCAAAAAAGAGGATAAGAATTGATTAAATATCTTCATTTTAAAGAAAATAATAAACTCTTAGCTGAGCAATAATGTTTATATTTTATAAGAAAGTAGAATAATAGATAAGAATAATAATAATAATAATAGCTAATAACTATCAACTAAAACAAAAATTTAAATTAAATAACCGTTTGAGTTATTGTTATATCTTTTAGCTTTCGACAGCCTGCAGTCTCTTCTGAGTTGAGTCTCGGCTAAACAGTCTTAGAGTCACTGTGGATGGAAACTCTGCTCATGCAATTTAAATTAATGATCTGGCAATACTAGAAAATAAAGTTTTTTACTATAGCGTTTTACGAACAATTTTCTGAATGCTTATAATATAGAGAAATATGCCCTAATTAGTTATTAAACGACTGCAAACAATGACAACTGGTAACAACGCGAAGATGCCGGTAAAACGATCTGGCAGAGAGGCACCTTTGCGTGAGCTTACAGTATTGTCAAAGGAACCGCCAACGGTCACACTTGCATACTTTTATTTATTTTGCACGCAGTAAAACGGGAAACAATTTGTCTGTGATTGAATTAGCCTAATTAGAAAAGGTAAGTTGAATAAAATACGTGATCAACTCAAAGTAGACCTAATAAACTATATATTGACAGCAAAAGCCAGCCGAAAGAGCCAAAGATGAGCAGCCAGCGCGGCAACGTGAGTCGCACACGTGCGCAGAAGCACAAAAATCGACATGTTTTCAAGAACGACCTGCACGACAAGACGCCCCAGCAAATCCGGCTGAATGCGATGCACGTGTCCACCGTCTGTCAGCGGTGCAAGGAGCAGATCGAGTGGAAGATCAAGTACAAGAAGTACAAGCCGCTCACGCAGGCCAAGACCTGTGCCCACTGCAAGGAGCGCACGGTGAAGAAGGCCTACCATGTGGTCTGCCGGGACTGCGCCATCAAGGCGCACGCCTGCGCCAAGTGCCTGAAGAGTGCCGACGAGGTGGCCATCGAGGAGGCGCAGCCCACGCCGCGCGAGGAGCAGCAGCTGCAGGCGGAGATGGACCGCCTGGTCAAGTCCTTCTCGGAGCGCAAGCGACGCGCCTTCCTGCGCTACATGAAGAAGGGCAAGAAGCAGCCGGCCCAGGAAGAGCTGGACGGGCAGGACGAGCAGCAGCTAGAGGCCCAGGAGAAGGCCAAACGGGTGGCACACACACGCGACGAGCTGCTGGACAAGATCAAGCAGCTAAATCTTGCTGGCGAGGATGAAGAGGACGAGGAGGACTCGGATTTCGATTCGGAGGAGGATGACGACTCCGACTTCGATTCCGAGGAGGAGGAGGATGATGACAGTGTGGATGAGCCACAAAAACCTGTCCCTGAGAAGCCAACCAAGGCGAAATAAACACTATTTTTTTCATAATCTAAGCGCTTTGTTTACGAATGAGTCGGAAATCAATTCATGGGAGGATGAATTAGTCCTAAAGTGCCCGTCAAGGCAATGTAACCATAATAATTAAACCTTAAGCATTGTCAACTGGAGTTAAGTGGCTAAGAAGGAGGCCAAGTGGCCAAAAACAAGCAGCTGAGTCTGAGAGAAGAGGACAAAAAGCCGCAGAAACCTATCCAAGAACAACTCTTACAAGTCAAAATAAACTTTTTTTTAATGAATCATTTTGTTTAGCTTTTAGTATGAGGAGAAGGCAGTGGCGGATCCACGGGGGGAAATTAGGTAAATTTCCCCCCCTTGGAGCCGCAGAACCTGAAAATTTCACTTGTTTGCTAGAAATCACCGCGATTTCCAGTTTTCGTCTTTTTCAATTTCCCCCCCCAAGAATCGTCTCTGGATCCGCCACTGGGAAAAGGAATATGTGGATAAAAACTGCGAGATGGGGAAGCAGTAAAAAATGGGAAGACCAGAGGAGCGAAATAAATAGATAAATCAGTTCCTGAGAAACCCATATGTTTAAGCCTAGCCTATTAGCATTATTCAACTCAAAAGTGAGCGAGATGGAAAACTAGGCTTGTTTCAAAATATTTGAAATATCTTGAAAAGCTTTATCTAAAATATATAGCTAAGCTTTTACTCTATATTCATTTGAGAGCTTTCATCGCATTTTAAAATCTTAAATGATTTGGTAGTGATATCTACTAAGATGTACAACTTTTCATTTCAAAGCTATGTGTGTGGTAAATTAAATATATAATATCGGTCGAAATATAACGTTTTTTATAAGACATTTTGAGTTTTAGAAAGTCTGACATAGGAACATAAATGCAGTAATTGTTGTTTATTTTATTATTCTTTCGAGTTTTGACAAACAACTCATATTCATAAAAAGTTGTTTAGCACCTTTAGTTACAAGTGTATTAATAACTTGTGAATATAAAATGGTATAAAAAAATTGTGAAAATATATATAGAACGTTTGTTTATTCTTCCTTGAAGTCCGAAATCTGGCGGATCTTGAAGTCCTTCATGTCCTTCTGCGGAATGAGACGCATCTTTTTCTCGGAGGCCAACTGGAGGACCGCACAGAAGGCCTTGGCCGGGGAAAGAAGCGAATGGGACGGATTTTTGTCCAGCAGGCTGTACATTCCCTGGAAACTGGCCATTCCTGGGGCGTAGTGTTCCTTCACCTTGTTTGGGAATAGGGTCACCTCCTCGTCCTCCTTCTCTTCGGTCACCGCCTTTAGCAGCTGATTCTCAATCAGCGAACTGCAGCTAATCTTGAGTTCCCGCATCGAGGAAATCAGATTGTTGGTAGAATCTTCCTTGGAAGCCTCGATTGTGGTTACTGCCTGCTCCTCGTCCATTTTCATCCGTTTGGGGCTTCTACAAAATTCAGCTTCGTAGACGGCGCCCTTCTTATGCCCAACCGCAACTGAATCCATTAGAATGTTTAGATATCCGCCTTGTAATGCGAGCCTCTCAACCAAAGTCACCGTGTCGCGCCAATCGGGGTGTAATTACAAATAAATAAAGTTTAGCAAATACGTTTATTCAATCTGGCCACACTGTGTTGTTGTAACCGCTGCCATTTTTAATATTTTGTAATACAAAATGGTCGCCACTAGAAGTGATTATCATACATTGTACGACGATTTTTCTATTTTCATGTATTTCTTAAGGGAAGAACCTTTTTAAAATAATTAAGGTTTTCTATCTTAATTTAATATGAGCTGGTCTGAATGTTTATTTAGTTTATATTAATTTATCATTTTTTCTTTTTCACTAAAATATTAGTTTTTTCTTAGGTTTGCGCCACAGCTAAGATTTGACTCAAAGCTTACTACCGTCTGGTCAGTCTGTTTCTCAGCTAGATTCGGTGTGGATTTAATACACGCCGGGAACGGTCACATTGGAACGTTGAAACTTGGGGAAAACTTTTTAAAAAAATCGGAGAAAATCCAAAGGAGCGAATGTCAGACAGCAGGACAGAGATGGTCAAAAGCCGTCGCCAGGGCAAGAAGAAGGGACCCGCGTCGCAGGGGTCAGCGCCCGGACTGCTGGCCAACGGGCAGGGAGCCGCCAAGCAGCCGTCGGGCGGCCGGAACGCTGCCAAGGCGAAGGGCAGGTCAGGAAAGGCCGCCAAAGCCGGCGAAGATGATCGTCTGGACCGCGAGCAGGAGAAGATCCTGCGCCAGCTGGTTAACGACTTCCTGCAGAGCTGTGAGCCGGAGACGAAACTGCCCGGACTCACCAAGGCACAGCGCAGCCACGTGCATAAGTTGGCCCAAAGTCGCGGCATTAAGACGGTCAGCAAGGGTCCAGAGACGGATCGCGTCCTGTACATGACCCGCCCGCAGTCCGGAGGCCTCCAGCACATCTGCCTGGACCACGCCAAGTTGCACATAAGCCCCCAGCTCTCCAAGGCCCTAAAAGATTTGATCGTGTACGTGAACCGTCGGCTGGACACCAAAGCTCCGGGATTCTGGCGCGGGAATCAGCAACAACAGGACCGGCGGCCCTGCAACTTCGGCCTTGTCGGGAACAGGCTGATCCCGCCCGTTTGTCGCAACAGGAGCATGCTCCAGGAGCGACAGAGCCTGCCCATCTTTCAACACCGCGAGAAGATCCTCAGCGTCCTGCAGCGCGAGCAGGTGACCAGAATCGAGCTCTTAGAAAACGAATTCCCTATCAAAACCCAGCTTCTTTTTAATTTAACATTAGCCTTATTACTCCTCAACTTTTTTGACTTTTAACTATAACGGATATCAGACCTATGCTTACTAATACCTATATATGGTATTGAATTTATGTTTGTAGATTTTGCATCAAAAAACTTAATCTTTTCCATGTCTCTTACGAATGCATCCCTATAATGCTTTAACAATAGGCTTTGAGTGAAAATGAGCTGCTTTCCGAAAACGGGGATTCCCATTAAAAACATCCCACTAACACTTGATTTATTCCCACAGGTTTTGATTATTAAAGGAGCCACTGGATCGGGCAAGTCCACGCAGTTGCCGCAATATATCCTCGAATGGGCCGCGGAGCATCGTGCTCCGGTCAGGATCATCGTCAGTCAGCCGCGACGCATTGCAGCGATCAGTGTTTCAGAACGCATTTCCCAAGAGCGCGGCGAGACCCCGGGCAGCACGGTGGGCTATCAGATTCGCATGAACAGTGAGTAGCAGTCGGCCACGAAATCAAGTAGATTTAACTAAAAACTATACTAATTTTTCACCAGGCAAGTGCAGCAGCTACACAGTTCTCTCGCTGACCACGAGTGGTTGCCTTTTGCGTGCTCTGGCCATGGATGGCGAAGCCTTCTTCAAGAACACCACCCACTTGATTATCGATGAAGTGCACGAGCGCGATTTGGACACAGATTTTCTATTGCTCGCCACCAAGCAGGAGTTGCAAAAGAATCGCCATCTCCGCGTGGTGCTCATGTCGGCCACCATGGATCTGAATGCTCTGTCCGCCTATTTTGGCAAGGCCACTGTAATGGATGTGGAAGGACGCAGCTTTGCGGTGAAGATTTTTCATCTGGAGGATATTCTCAGTGAGACCGGCTACATGACCCAGAGGATGCAGACGTTTTTAGGGGAGCCGACAGGGGAAGAAGATCCCAGCGAGCTGCTAGCCGCCTACTACGGTGGCCGCACCTTCGTAGATCCCGAAATCGACAATGATTTGATCGTTTCGCTGTTGGAATTATTACTGCGCAGCGGGGACAAAGGAGCGGTGATTGTGTACCTGCCCGGTTACAGCGATATGACCATGCTGATGGACCGCTTGGAGAATGCTCTGCCGGGGGACCAGATTCAGATTCTGCTGCTGCACAGCCATGTGGATAACAACGAGCAGCGGAAGGTCTTTCGGGTTTATCCCGGTGTGCGTCTTAAGATTATCCTAAGTACAAACATAGGCCAGACTTCGATCACCATTCCGGATCTACTCTACGTCATCGACACTGGACGCTGCAAGATGAAGACCTATGACCCGGGAACGGATGCCTCCCAGTTGGCCAGTACGTGGATCTCGCAGGCGGACGCCCAACAGCGGGCGGGAAGAGCTGGACGTGTGCGTCATGGCATCTGCTATCGACTATTCGACAGCGACCGCTTTGCCAGGATGAATCTGTACACCGTTCCGGAGATCATGAGGCGCACCCTCGACGACATTTGTTTGCTGACCAAAGTGGCAGCTCCGAACAGGCAGATAGCTAGTTTTCTCTCCATGGCATTGGATCCTCCGCAACCGGAGGCCGTGCTGCAGGCCTGTTCGAGACTGGAGCTGTTGGGCGTGCTTCATGACCTGGATGAGAAGATCACGCCGTTGGGACGCATCATTGCCGAGCTTCCCTTGGGCGTTCAAATGGGCAAGTGCCTGGTGTACTCCATTTACTTCCGTTGTTTGGGCAGCATGACGATTATTGCGGCCTACCACTCGGTCAAAGATCCCTTCGTGCTGACCATGGAGCGGGGCAAGAAATCGGGCCAGCAGAACGCCAGACTGGTGTTCGCTGGCGACAAGATGAGCGATTCGCTGGCGGCCCTGAAGCTTTACGAGGAATTCACCAGCTTGGGACGCTATGATATTAGCAAGTTTTGCGAGCGCAACTTTCTATGCCGCCACTCAATGGATATGTTCGTCTCGGCAGTGGGAACTCTGCGCACCACCGTGTCCCGCATCTTCCGCTTCAATCAGGCTAAGATGCGCCTAGCCTCCTCCTTTGACGATGAGACCAATATGATCCGCCTGGCCTTAACGGCTGGATTCTATCCGAAGCTGGCCTACATGGATCGTGAGAACAAGCACCAGCTGGTGGCCGAAGGAGACGCCTTCTGTCAGGTGTCGCGCAACTCCTGCCTGCTGGGGAAGAAGAAGCAAAAGAATCTGGCCAGCGACTGGATCCTGTTTGTGGAGAAGACCCGCACTTCCGAGCAGAAATCCTCGCTGGAGCACACCAGTCTGGTGAGCGGGTTAATGGTGGCTCTGGTGGGCGGAAAGCATTTCCAAGTGGAGCCGCATGGCTCGAAGGTGCAACTCTGTCTGGACTCTTGGATCCGTATCAGCTGTCCCAATGATTTTGCCCGCGACATCCGCGAGCTGCGCGTGCTGTTGAATCGCGAGATGTCCGAGTTGGTGGAGACGCGCAAGCTTACCGAGGAGGGCGAGTGGATAGGTCCGGAGACGATCCGTCGGCTGCTGCAGGCGGATGTGCCCTCGGCCTGCTTGGCCGCGGGCAAGAGTCTGCCCGACGATTTTAACTGTGATAATGACTTTTAAATGACCAACGGGCGTGAAAGGAGGCTAGCCGAGTGATTCCCATCCTTACGTTTAAGATATCGGCCAAAAACTAGATACGTAACAGCTACATTTTGCCTCCAACGGTTTGCTACAGTATTCGCGAAGTGATCGAATAGGCTCGTAGAAATTACAAATAAACTTTTATAAGATGGACTTATATTTGTACAGTGCGTTTCATAAGCCTAGGACAGCCTATCTTACCTGATTAGGGCAGTTAAGTTCGCAACTAAGAGGCCAACGAATATGTATTTTTCAATGTACCTTACTTTTGTACATCGAATTCCGTTACATTTTGATAGAATATACAATATTCATACAAAAACTCAAAAAGCTGAGTCAATAACTGGGATCGATTAAGAAACATATTGTAGCCTGACCCTAAAAATGTTGTAAGCATTTATTAAGTAATCAAAATACCATTGACTTCCAGATTTATGTCTCATTGCAAAAAGGCTTTACTGTACTTTGACTTATTAATGTAAATTTTAACAAATATCTTAATTAGATTTCTTAAATGTTGTGATATAACAAGGCGCAAATACGACATAGCTGATAAACCGTAGGATATTTTTGGAAATTTAAAAGATCTCTATACTACATACGATGTAACGTGGCAGGTATCCATATAAAAGGTATGTTTTGGTTTTCATTATTGAATGTGTTTCTCCACTTTGATTTACACAATTGTTTAAGGAAACTTTTATTTAGATATTATTATTTAATTATTTTTGGTGAAAACCCGAACAGGCCTGTGCAACTCATAGTTTTTGGTATATTTTCAAATATATAACAACATGTATTCCATTCCATGTATTATCACAGGTTATCACATTGATGTAACTATGTTAAGCTCTGAAACGCACTGTAAGCATTTTTTAGCAATTGGAAACACACAGGGAATGAAAATGTGAACCAAAAATATTAATTTCGTTTGGAGAGTGCCATGGCGGGCACTCCCTAATTGCCGGGTGAAAATATGTGTGCCACAAGTGCCACGAGATGCCAGGGAGATCGCGACTCGGTGCCGGTGTTGGTGTCGTTGTCGGTGTCAGTGTCAGCGGGCCCAGATGGTGGGCGTGGCAGTTCCCTGCGGTGCATTGGGCCATGGCAGCCGAGCTGGCGTTTATGCTCCACCTGCCTCACCTGCCTCCCACTGCCCATTCAGGCGCAAACAAGAGCGGGCAAGTCAAAAAAAAAAAAGAGTTAATTGCACAGACGACGCAGTCAATAAACCTGAAGTCGAGCTTGTCGCTGCTGCAGCAACAATGGCCACAAAGACACCGGGGCAACAGCAACAGCAACACCATGAGCAACAGCAACATGCAACAGCAACAAAAGACGGCAGCTTACTTACAAAGAAAGTGAAATTAATTTGTTATTTTTCGGTCGATTGTGGCTCTTTGAGCGATGTCTTTGAAAACTGGGAGAGAGCATGGCCAATCTCCACGGCCGGCCCTGCAAATTCGATGTCTTTTACAGCCTGCAGATGTTGTTGCTACTATAGAATGTGTTATATGTGCGAATTAATGTATGGAAATATTTTAAATGTAATGTTTAGCAGTATTTATGTAGGAAATATTCAAGAGTGTCACAGACGAATAACTGTTTCTAAAATAATGGTAGTAACCGAAAGGTTTTTTCTTTGGTTTTGCTTAAGAAGCACAAAACACTACAAAATGTTACAATCTTTTTTTCTGTTCAGGAACCTATTAAAAATGTTTATAATTTCCTAAAATGTGCTTATATTAAAAATTGTACAAATAATTTGATCGAGAACGAAGAAAGTCACCGTGAATTGTAACCTTGTACACAAACCGTTTAATATTTCAAAGCGGTATACATGATTCTTTTTAATTACTTTAAAGTTTTTAGTTTTTTAATGTTGATACCCAAGACGCGTACCAATAAAAATTCAGCCTAATTTTTCGCCAATCGAGAAATCCGTCCTGGTCTTTGAAAACATTTTTGTATATATCTAAAAGCTTTTGTTTGTTACTGTACCAAATGCAAGTAGTATTGTGCAGAATCTTTTTGTACTAAACAATTTTTCAATTTCATACTTAAGGCTAAAACAAATAAAAACCAAAAGTGAACGTGAAATATTTTTGATGTACCTACAACTATAGATTTTAAGAATAAAAGTTGACTATATATGTAAATGGATTTCGCACGTTTAAAGATAATTATAAAAAGGAAAGTATGTTGGTTGATTTGACCCAAATGAAGTGCACCGCAACGCGGCGATCCAATAATCTGCAACTCATCAATGGGAATTGCGGGAAATCACAGTGGCCCAACCTCGAATTTTCCACAATTTGCACAGAGAATTCCGCAAGAAGCCATGACAAATGAAGGCTACCAAGAAAGCCGCAGATCAATTTTCCCAGATGACTCTTCCATTGTCGGTGGCTGCCATTGAACTCTGGCGAGGATGGGGACAGAAACAGGATGAGGAGAAGGAAAGGGAGAAGGAGGAGGCGGAGTGCCAAATGAATGGCCACTGCCAATTGGCATCTGCTCTCGAAATCAAATGAAGTCAAATGGCCCGGCGCGCAGGCAGCGCTAATGGATCGACCATAAACCTGGCCAACGAGTGGTCCGGCTTCCATGGGGAAGCAGCCAGTTGAACGCACTCGCCATCGCCATCAACTCCCATTTAAATTGGCCGCGGATCGGACTCCGTTGGCAACCAGCTCGGCAGGTGTCTCTTTGTCATTGTTTGCGGACAGGAAGGCGGAGATTATCAGACGAAATTGGTTATCAGTGATTCCAGTGATTCCACCAGGGATTTCTGGGTTAGCTGGGGGACCAAGCTTAAGAGAGTCCAGAGGAGCCTTTTGGGATATGCCCATTTCCTTTTAAGAAATGTTATTTGTTTAATAAAATCCTCGGAAAAAATGGAGTGTCAAAATATGGAGTGTCATACCTCGTTTAAATCGTTATGAAATTTCTAATCGATTGGCATTCAAACCTAGACATTTTTATTTTTGACACATTTTTTTACGATAGCAATGCAAATAATGGTTCCATAATGGAATGACATACCTTGTTGAACTCGTAACAAAATTTCCAATCACATTGCATTCACAGATTTTTTTGGAAAATTTTTCAACAAAATTATAAGTAACCCCCTTATGAAAAATGTGAAATGTCAAAAATGCAATTTTCAATGATTTTTCGCTCAGTATTTTTACGATAGCAATGCAAATAATGTTGATCTCGTAATTAAATTCCAAATTACTGGCATTCTACCGAAAAAAACATGATGATAAATGCGAAAATCGGCAAAAAAATTTGCAAAATCAACCAGAAAGTGATAGGGATGGCTAACTTAGAAATGTTGCTGTATAAAACAGTTAGTCTCTCAGTTGTGGCTTCCACCTTAAATAATGCGTATATAATGCGCAAAATTTGTTGGCTTTCTCAAAACCTTATAAACGTGTTTCTTAGCCATCCAACGGAGGATTAGGCTAGAACACCATCTTGCCAAGAGATGAAAACTCGATCCCGCCAAGCAGCATCGCATCGGATCGCATCGCAGTTAGGCGACGAAATGTGAGCTAATGACGGGCCCTCGACTGATTGATGATCCGATGATGGTTGGAGCGGCGAACGCCTGTCTTTTGGGGCCGCCAGTTACAGTTACATAATTACACCAAATTGATTTCGCAGAGAAGTCGCCGCCAGATCTGCGCTGCTCCCAATGGCCCGCGATCCATGCTCGATGATCCCATGGCCCAGGGCTCGGGCTCCCAGAGATGACATCATCTCACATAATCGCACATCTGCAATAATCCCAGACATCAACTGTGCTGCAGCACGGAATGCATTTCGGTAATTCCAAATTCCAAATTCCAAATTCGGAATTCAACATTCCGAATACCAAACGGGGGTATTATCATAAATATGTACATACTGGCAGTCGGGAGGGATTGGACGAAGGGGCCCAGAGATCACGCCAGTGAAAGTCTGCCCCTTTGGCGGGGTCAAATCAATCAGGCTGGGCGGTGACCCGCCGCTACCGAGGGAACCAAGTCGGACTGGGTGGCATTTGGCATTCGAAGTTGCCCCGGACACCTCGAATTTCTCGGGGATTTTGTCGAGAGCAACACCTTTCCAAAATAAAACGCCTAATTATGTCATTAAAACGCTTGGCTTTGTTGTGCGCTTTTTTAACGACGATTTGTGAGAAGCTGACCAGCAATTTCAATTTAAACAAAAATGCTCATGCTGTCATCTTCATTTTTATATTTAATTTTCCCGTCTCATTGAATAACCTTCATAACTGAAATCTGAAAATATGCTATAATCTTCTGAACACTTTTTAATCGATTTATTATCTAAATATAATTTCACGAAATTATTCCTTTGAATTTTACTAATTAAACAATAATAATCTATACTTCAATTTCCTAAAGGTAATTCATTTAAACTTGAAATTCAAATTAAGCAATTATATTATTATACAATAATGTTCAATTTAAGCACGTTTGGTCACTGTAAATTCTTTTTATGTCTTTAAATCTATTTATATAGTAAATGTATCTTTGTTTTAATGAAACTTTTTATTAAAGTTTGATAGAAAGGGGGGCTGTAGGGAATATAAGCGACCCATGACGAAGCTTAACTGCGGTAAAAGTGAAGTCATGTGCGAGTCTTTGGGGGCACCGAAAAGTAAAAGCCAAAACGAGAGTGAAGTGATGGCAAAACGAGCAACGATCGTGATTCGCATTTGGCCATGGCCAACAGCAGCAGCAACATAGGCCACCAGCAACTAGCAACTAGCAACTTGAGCCAGCAGCAACCAGCAACATGAACAGCAGGAGCCGGAAATCTGGTCAGGTTGTGACCCCCGGAAGTCGATGCCACAATCAATCAATATTTGTATATTTATGCGGATCTATCTTTATTTATGCACGATTCGAATATGGTGTAACGCCTGCCTTTTGTTTCGTTTGTCACAACAGCCTAATGACGGGCCGAATATTTTGCCATTTCTTTTTGCGGTCATTAAAGTGCCATAAAGTGTTGCCATTTCCATGGCAAATATTCGGCAGTTCCCGAAAACTAATAATCCACGTTTATATCTTTATTTATGTAAGCCGAGGCGAGAAATTGCCACAGCAATGCAGCAATGGATGGCCGGAGGCGTGGCAACAACGGCGCCAATCAGTGGCAACATCAGCGATAACATGGCCAGCACAACAGCAACATCAGCAACATCAGCAACACCAGCAACATCTGCAATATCAGACACTCTCCAACGGCAACAGAAAAATTTGGACAACAGCAATAGCCCGACTATCTTCACTCAGCAAAAATTGCCTTTTTCGAAATCACCGATCAGATAAATATGTGTTTTATAAACACTACCATGTTTTTATATTAAATTAAAAGTTGCCTTAAATATTAAAAAACTAATTCGCAAGCAATAAAATGTTTACTAGATTTTTTTTACAAGTAATAAAGGTAATTATTGAAAAAATATTTTTTCCAGAACTATTTAACTTCTCAATATAACAATATCTTGTTTATATTGAGGAAAGCAAAGATTGAAGTCAAAAAGATGACGAGTGTGTCATTTTGATGGTTCATTTTTGTGAGTGTAGATCAGTAACATGAAGAAAATGCACAGCAGCAACACTCTCGAGCAGCCACTTGTTGCATAGTCTGATGTCAAGAGCCTCGGCTTTGGTCAAGCGCCAATTGAGATGTGACAGGTTGTCTGGTCAAGCTTCTCCGCTTGCCAGGCACTCGACTCCACTCCAATCCACCCAATCCCCACCTGCCCCCCATCCAGTGAAAAGGTCATCGGATTCCGGTGCACGAATAAAAAGCTGGATTAGTCCCAGGCACGAATTGCTTGTCATGATTATGCGAAGCTATCCATAATATATACCCCTTTAATCTCTTAAGTTTTAATTCACCCCGTCTGTTTATACAATCGTATTTGCGCATTTCTTTTCGTATTTGCAATTTCACGATGTACACAGGAAAATGGGAAAAATTCAGGATAAATATGGTATTTTGACAGACAGTGATGAATGTTCCTAAAAGGCATATTCTGGGTCAGCTGTTATTTGCTTATCCAACTAAATCCCACGGGGGAAAATAACTTGGGATTTGGAGACGTGGCTAAAAAATGAATAACTAAATATTTAAATGACAAAGACAAATATACACTTTCTTTTAACGCTTCAGTTAACAACAATATAAATAAAAAACATATTTGTGTATCTATTGTTTGAATTTGTTAACGACTATAAATTATATTCAAGGTGATTTACCTTATTATAATACAAACTACTTTTCTTTTAATAAATAAAAATTGATAAATAAGACATAGAATATTGCGATGATAAATTTGATAATATCTAACTTTTACTTTTCCATTAGGTTTGATTCTGCAAAACGCATCAAATATTTTTCTTTCGCAGTGATAGTTTGTTTTTCCCAAATGCAGTGAATATAGCGCTTAAATCGGATTAAAAATATTCAGATCTGTGAGGTTAATTTTTGATCCCAATCCGCTTAGACGGCAATTAATCGGCCAACGAGTGTTATATAAATTGTATAATTTCCGAAAACTGTTCCCCAGTTTGATCTTGGACTAATCGTCTTATGTGTGGCATCGAAATGCGTTCGAAAGTTACAGGTTTTCCAGTTCAAAACAGCCATTGTGCTGAGTTATTGGAATGTTGGGGCTTATTTATTAACGATGGTTTCACTTTCCAGCCACACAATTACGTTTGGATAAAGGCGGCAAAGAAACGAAACCAAACAAATTTGTTTATAAATGTCGCACAATATTTATTTGTTGACGCCGTCATCGATTTGTCATTGTTCCGTTGCCGTTTTGGGGCCCCCGAAATTTATGGGGCTTACCGGCCATTTGACTCCATTCCGCGGAAGGTGAAGGGTTGACAATGGGCCATAGAATCGAAATTGGCTGGAAGTGTAACAATGGAACCCCGGACAAGACCAAGACTAAGCGATTCCAATTCGAAAGCGAGCAGGCGCGGAAATTTATGCATAATTTCTGTGACAAATGCCACAAAACGGCGGCTAGAGAGCATGGAAAGTGTGAAAAGTGCATTGATAATTATGATAATTGTCCGCTCAAGACTGGGGACCAGTGGGAAATGATGAGTTCGGCAATAAATAGATAGATATTTTCACGTTGACAAAAGACCTCCAAACGCTGGGAATGGTGGGAAGTGTGGGGGGGGGAGGAGGGGGCTTTTTGTATTATTCAAGTGCAGGCCAACTTTCATTCTTAGTCACTGATTTGTGGCGGTTGCCGTTTCTTATTTGCTGGCTCTTATTTCCACTGTTTTTGGGTTGCCCGCCTGATTATATGGTACGTGCTATTTCATTCGCCGACAGATACAAGATACAAAGATGCACAACTGCCAACCGCAAGACAACCAACGACATCCCAAGGGGAGGGCTTTGAGATGGGGCTATTATGATTAATGGCTATGCGAATCGCCAAATGCTCTACGATGTGTTTATTTTAGAACTTTTGTTTTATTGTTTCTCTACGTAAAGTATTAGAACTTCCATTTCATTACAAACGATGTCTTAATAAAAGCTTATAATATAAACATAACATGTTATACTTGTTAAGTCAATTATCTTTGTATTTCGAATTCCATCATTTTGGGTTCTGCAAGGGCACAAAACTTACATAAATTTATATCCTAAGAAATAATAAATAATTTTATTTTACAAATGTTTCAAAACGACCAAAATATTCGAGTATTTTGAATTTGTTGAAGCACATAGTAAAGATGGTGCTATGATCATCAATCCAATTGCTTACCGATTTATCGACATTGCAGAATCACATTTTTAACTTCTTAGTTTGTTTACTTGTTTACTTGTGTTCAACCCACACAGAGTTCTTGAGGAAGTTATTGGACCCGCGGCGAGGTTAGCACCACATCAACAGCTACAACTTGATCATGATCATGATCATGGCTGCGTCGCTGTTTTACACGATGGCTGTTGCTTCTCGAGGAGGAACACAGTCCCCATCCCCATCCCCATCCCCATTCCCATCCCGATCTCCTCCAGCTTCTCGGCCTACCGGTGATGTGGGCTACCTACCCATCTACCAGCAATTATGATCCGCTAGCTGCGGATTGCCTACGAGGCATGTCAACGCCTAGGACAGCGCTCTCAAGTTTCTAGTTGGGTGCCAATCCGCGGGAATCCACGGGATTCTGAGAAGTACTTCCCGGGCAGATTTCCCATCGACAAAATAAAAAAAACTACACTTATGCAAAACGAACGGGCGAGATTTACTTTACTTTACTTTAATCACACTGCCGACCGATGTGTAAAAGTGAAAATGCAGCAGCCAACTGCGGTGGTGGTGCGTTGCTTGGTCGGGTGGTGCAAATTATGAAATTAGTATTATGTGAAACGGAGTTAAAAGTGTGATTAAACTGGAGCTGCAGTCAAAGTCACACACATGTGTGTGGGGCATAAAAAAAAAGAAGAAAAAAAACCCACCTGCCGCATAATAAGCCACCGCCGTCAAGACAATGAAAGTCACCTAAGTACCCACTCCACGGTAAGTGTGCGGGGCAATTAATATCATTTCAGCGTAGATGTGGACGTGGATGTGGACGTGGATGCGAGAGCCACCGCGATGGTTTTCCGAGTGAGCGAGTCGCCCAAATGGAAATGCCGTCGCCGGAAGGTTAGACCCTTCGATGCTCAGGGTTAAACAGTGGGGTTAACTGAACGATTTCGTTCGAAAGATATTAGTTGTACATTCACAAAGTTTAAAAATCTCTAAAGTCCTTTAAAGCAAAAATGATGACATCCAAGCCAATCAAATTCTCAAAGTTATTGTAATTTAATTTTTATTTGAAAATGTAGATTAAGCCAATAAGAATTATTTTGCTATAATACATGAAGATAAGTGTAATGGGAAAATTATCAATTCGAATAATATTTATATTAAGATCATTAGATGGAATAGAAAGTAAGGTTCTATAAATAAGAATGGTAGAATTGAAATGACTACATACAAATTACCACATCTTATTATGTGGGATTTCATTTTTCTTGTTAAACCGACTACTAACAGTATGGGAAGCTCTATAAAATTCCAAGAATTTTCATCAGCTGGTGGCGCAATAAAACACCTGCTGGGCATACCCCCTGCTACCCTCTTGGTGCGATAGGAACCCACGACAAGTGCAGCGACAAAAAAGCAAATAACAATTCCCTGTGGCTTATTAGCAATGCCACTTAGAAGTTGGAGCGGCTGCGGCAGGGTGAAAGTCATCCAGCTGAATGCACATGGCGAGGTTTCGCTGTCACCTTACCCGCGCCCACTTATCCAACCCATCCAATCCGATCCCATCCAATCCCATAGCCATACCCATCACCATACTTCATCCCGCCGCAGAAACCGCAAGCGCAGTCAAGTTTGTTGCCTCAGTCTTTTGTTCTGCCACGGCTCATGGTTCATGGTGAATTGCGTAGGGAATTGCCCTAATCGCAGTTTCGGTTTCAATCGTCAATCGTAATCGTAATCGAGGAAAATTTCTAAGCAACACCACAGGGCATTGGCACGAGATCTTCTCCGATTTTTAATAAATATAATTTATAATGCCCATGAGGCCATAAAAAATAAAAAACCTTAATATGTATGTGCGCATCTTGATGCATAAAAGAAAATGAGCTGCTTCGGCAATTAATAGACCATGAACAGTTTGCTAGACGAATGAAAACTGCGCACCACTAAATCTAGCCTCAACTTAAGTTCGACTAATGCGCACTTATAAAGTAAGACCCAAAAACCAAACTAGTGAAAGACTAAAGTCCATAAATAGTGGTTTTTAATTGAGATGGGGATTTTCTTTTTGTGGCCAGATTGATCATTCTAAATGTGCAGGCCTTAATGATTATGCTGCCAACTTGCTTGTAATTAAGTTACTTATATGCTAATAAATATTGCATGATTTTTGGTAAAAATCTATAATGTCTGCTTACGATCTGTGTCTGCAAAATTATTATTTAACAATTTTAACGATCTGCATTTATTTATGTATGCAAAAATATATTTGGAAGATTGTTTTATTTCACTTTTCGCATCATTGTTTGCATTTGCATTTTTTGCCTCTTGAGTTTTGATCATTTTATTTTTACAGTAAGTCGCGTGTTTTGTTTTATTGGAATCACCATTTTATTGTGTATGCAAAAACGAACATTAAATTATCGAATCGTTGTTAATATAATTCCATTTGCATTTTCCTTTTACATAATTGCATTTAATAAATACGTTGTGATTTTTCAAATTTTTAAGTCAATCGTATTTATATATTATTCTCATGTAGGATTTTTATTTTCTGACTCACCGTTAAATGATATTTATGTATTATTTAGTTTCAAGCTGTAGATGTATTCCTTTTTTGGCAATATTCCTCAACTTAAGCACAACATATCAATCTTGCTTTGTACTTTTTAATTAACTTTTTCGATAGGCTGCCAATTATGACAAATGAACAGGAAAAAACAAACAAAACAACACAAGTTGGCACGCACATTAAGATGGATGTTCGGGGAAGAGGATGAGTTTTGCCGATAATGGAAGGGCTATTAATCACTGGAAAAATGCACGAGTCGCGAAGGAAATCGAAAAACGGAAAACGGGAGGAAAACTGCGAAGACGACGACGCGACGCCGACGATCCGGCAAACACGTTTTCCAGTTACAACGTTGGCAACGGAATGATTTGGCCAAATCTGCAGCGGCACCAACGAAGCCCGAAATTATCCCAAAGAGCGAAGGCCGGCAAATCAAACAGAGAGCGGGTGAGAGCCAAGAAAATGGCCCGGAGAGAGGCTTTCTCCGGCTGAGAAGCAAGAGAAAGAGCGGCAGCAGAGATCGCAGTCCACCACTTTGAATACCCTACATAGCAGGTGATCTATGAACCAAACTGTTGGCTTCCGTGCGAGTTTCCTCGCATAAATCTCTATTGCTAAGTTGTCCCATTAGTGATAACGTTTTATGGACAGACGCACTTCATCATTAGCTGCTTACAGTTCCACTGGATTTTACTAATTCAATGAATCCATTCAAAAAGCGATTAGTCGATTACTTTATAAGCTCATTAGCCTAATTTGAATAATGGATAAATATTGTTCAAGTGCGCTTATAAAATATGTTTTTAATAATCGTATTCAATCTTCTATTGATAAGTTTGTAAGGTTAATTAGTTGGGATTTTCTATGGGTTTTATATTTGGCCAATTTATCCGACCTACCAAATTTCATAAGGATCGGCCGACTATATCCTATAGCCGCCATATAACTGATTGATCGGAAATGCCATAGCTTTGGTGTTTGTAAAGTCAACGCTAAAATGAAAATTTTGAATGCAGATTTTTAGATAATCCAACCACAAGTCTTTAGAGGTAAGCCACTTTGAAATCGGATTAAATTTGGTAAAGTTATGGAATCTATAAGTCTAGTTTTGAGTCACTCTTTTTACAAGACATTGGAAAATTAGAAATAACTAACATGAAAATGGGTCAAAAATTTGATAAACGTTAAATTGAAAATTTTGAATGCAGATTTTTAGAGAATGAAATCACAAGTCTTTAGAGGTATGCCACTTTAGAATCGGATTAAATTTGGTTAAGTTATGGACTCTCGAAGACCAATTTTGGTTCACTCTATTACAAAACATCGGAAAATTAGAAATAACTGACATGAAAATGGGTCAAAAATTTGATCAACGTTAAATCAAAAATGTTGAATGCAGATTTTTAGAGAATCGAATCACGAGTCTTTAGAGGTATGCCACTTTAAAATCGGATTAAATTTGGCAAAGTTATGGACTCTAGAAGTCCAATTTTGGGTCACTCTATTACAACACATCGGAAAATTAGAAATAACTAACATGAAAATGGGTCAAAAATTTGATCAACGTTAAATTGAAAATTTTGAATACAGATTTTTAGAGAATCGAATCACGAGTCTTTAGAAGTATGCCACTTTGGAATCGGATTAAATTTGGTTAAGTTATGGACTCTAGAAGTCGAATTTTGAGTCACTCTATTACAAGACATCGGAAAATTAGAAATAACTAACATGAAAATGGGTCAAAAATTTGATCAACGTTAAATTGAAAAATTTGAATGCAGATTTTTAGAGAATCCAACCACAAGTCTTTAGAGGTATGCCACTTTGAAATCGGATTATATTTGGTAAAGTTATGGAATCTAGGAGTCCTGTGGGTCACCTTTGGGCAACTCATCGGAAACTTAGAAATAACCAACATGAAAATGGGTCAAAAAGTCGGTCAACGCTAAAATGAAAATGTTAAATGCAGATTTAATTTAATAATTTTGGTCAAAAGTGTGCAAGTGATGGAGACATGTCCGACCCTATAAATTATATATATTCTTGATCAGGATCGCGTCTTGAGTTGATATAAGCATGTCCGTCTGGCCGTCTGTCTATTTCTACGCAAACTAGTCTCTCAGTTTTTAAGATATCGAATTGAAACTTTGCACACACCCTTCTTTCCTTTGCACGCAGTATATAAGTCGGAACGGTCGGGATCGGCCGACTATATCCTATAGCTGCCATATAACTAAACGATTGGAAATGCCATAACTTTGGTGTTTGTAATGTTCGGCTTCTCCCGAAGTTATCTTTCCTTTCTTGTCATCATTATATAAGCCTTCACCGAAAAAAACACTCAAGGAACTAGGCTATTAAAGATGACTTTGCAGGTGAAATTAAATAGCTTTTTTGTTGCCGTAGGATGCCAAAATATTTGGCTTCCCCATTTCAAATATTTCCCATGCACAGCATTTTTGGTTTGCAAGATTTGCACTTTACTTCTGTCAAGTTGATGAGTTGCATTGCTGCATTGTTGCTTGCATAACAAAATTCGTTCACTTTCAAAAAAACATAAACGAAAAAAAAATATGTATGAAGGAGCAGCCGGGAGTGGGCGAAGCGCCCACGCAGCAGCATGGGCATAAACTGGACGCACTGCGTCCACTTTTCGGGCTTTTAAGCCACCCAGCTTGGCGGAGATTGGGCAATCGGAAGCCCGAGGGCAAATTGCCGCCGTACCATTAAATTGTGACTTTTAATTAAAGCCAAGGAAAACAAAGCGAAGAGCAGCATCCGAAAAGCTAAAGATAAAGATGAGTTCAGAGGGCTGCAGAATCTAATGATTGAGCGGAGCAAATTGATGTTTGGGTTTTTGAAAACTGAAATTGATTTTGTTTTTTTCCTCTTTTTTTTTGTTTGTTTGTTGTTTTCTTGAACAGATCATTAGCCACAGAAGATCCATAGGATTTGGACTATAAATTCAGCTGTTTCTTGGCCCAAAGACATCATAAACCATTGGATCTCAGCTTCGATTAGAATCTCAAATCTAATAATCTTTACTTCCAGAATGAAGGTAAGAATTGAAGGAGCCTCAAGGATGTTCTTGAACTAATTTTTAAAAATTAATCTTTGTTTTCAGGTATTTGTCTGCTTGTTGGCTTCTCTGGCTCTGGCCAATGCTGGTGGCTTCCGCGGTGGTGCCGGCGGTGGTGCAGGCGGTGGCTACCTGCCCGGCGGAGGACGCGGTGGTGGCGCCGGTGGCTTCGGTGGCCGCCCGGCCATTGGAGCTGGTCTGGTGTCCCACGTCTCCCAGTCGCAGGGCAACACTAAGGTCCACATTGGCGGTGGCTCGGCTGGCGGCGGCGGTGCCTACGGAGCTGGTGGCCTCGGCGGTGGAGCTGCCTCCTATGGCGGTGGTGCTGGACTTTCCTCTTACGGCGGCGGTGCTAAGGCTTCCTACGGCGGTGGAGCAGCTGCTTACGGTGGTGGTGCCGGATCTTATGGCGGTGGTGCCGGATCTTATGGCGGTGGTGCTGGATCTTATGGCGGCGGACGCGGTGCCGGTGGCTGGCAGGGAGCCGGAGCTGGTCGTGGAGCTGGAGGAGCTGGAGGGGCCAACGCCTGGGGCAACCCCGCCGAGTTCGATTACACGGTTAACCACGCTTCCAGTGCTGGTGGTGCCGGTGGTGCTGGTGGTGCTGCCTATGGTGGTGGCTCCCGTGGTGGTGCTGGCTGGTGGAACGATTAATGGACCCAATATATCTGTTAACAAATCTGTGCAACCGAAGCTGACCAATAAAATGCTAATGTAAAACAAAGTTTTTTGTCTAAGTCTTTCGTTTACAACAAATAGGTGCTTGACTTTGCTTTTAACTGAAGTTTTAGTGGTTGCGAACTACAATAAGCTTTAAAGCTAATCATCATTAATATTTTCATATCTTTGTAGGGCGTCTTAGAATTTTAATAAGTAGCTTCTAACGCATTTTTTATGAAATTTCTTTTTTTTACTTGATTGTAAATTTTATAACGAATTCAAGGATGTATGACATTCCCACATTCGACAACTATTTACCAGAGTTTGAATTCAAAAACCGAAAAATTTTGCTGTTTTTTCCGGATTTTCGCCAAAATATTTTTTCTAAGGGATACCCTCATAAGTTTTTGCGAAAAAAATATTTTTTTTAAATTTTTTTTCTGATTATACCATTTGATTGGAAGTTTTATAACGAATTCAAGGATGTATGACATTCCAACATTCCACAAATATTTCCCAGGGTTTTTCCGGATTTTCAGCCATGTCCGGCTTTTCGTCAGTTTCTATAACGTTTGCGATCTCAGTTTAAATGCAAGAGACTAGAAACTTTTGCAATCGTCTTTTCTTATGTGTAAGCTTTGCCACCTTCAAAGATACCTACTGCTACAGTACAGCTTTTTCGTACAATAAACATTTATATTGAGCACTAGATGGCGCTGTCACAAAGTTCGTTGCCTAAGTCTTTCGTTAGCTCGCAAACGAAGAAACTAATCCAGTTTACAACTTTGCTCTTTACGCCCTGCCCTTGCGAGTGGATTGCTGAAGTTCAAGTTCATTTAAAGCCGGTGCCGCCGAAAGCGAAAGTTAATTAAGGGAAAAACTTAAGAAATATTAAGTTAGCGTCAAAGGATTTGAAATAAATGACAACTGGCTGAATTTTTGAGGTCAGGGAGGAGAACTTGAGGTGTTAATGCCAATCCTTGACACCAGCCCATAAAATAAAAACTTAATTCAAGTGTGTGTGCTTAACATGAAGTTAAACAGTTTATTGGCTGTCATTGATTTATACATATGAAAATCGGCTTCTTTGCTTTTCAGTTTTTTTTGTGTATTTCGTTTTGTTTTACTTCCGCTGGCAATCGTTGTTTGGCTTTGAATCCACCGATTTTCTTTGTCTACCTTTGTCTTTGATTCGATAATCATGAAGTTGCGGCGTCGTCGAGTCTCGACTGAATTTGCCATGTGCGTTTTTGGTTTGGGTGTTTGGTTTTCGGTTACCATAAAGCCTTGGACAAACGCATTACGATTCGCATGTTTGTTTATAAACAAATGGCCATCTCACTTTTATTTACACCAATTTGAACAAATTATGCGAGCGTGTGTGCTAACTTGTTTTAGTTTTTGCATTTTTTTAAACTGGTTTTTGGTCTTATGGTCTCAGGTATTTGACAAACTCTTGATGCACATTTTAAAGATTATCGCTGCGGAATGTCTTTGATTACGAAATTTATTTGAAACCAATTTGGTCAATGAAACTCAAATAATTCATTGCTACTTTTTATATTCTTAATGCCTTGGGCATTTTAATCGGTAAAGGAATAATTAAACTGTTTTAATGGAAGTTACATTTCAAGTACTTCCTGAATTGCGCTAGCATGTAAGTAATTATTATTATTATTTTTACATAAGTTTATATTAAAATGCTTAAATTATAAGGAGATTTATAAGATTTTTATAAAATTTTATAAAATAAATATTTAAGTACTGAGTGTTTTATTTTATTACTCATGTCATATCCTTATAAATTATTTCTTAAGTTTTTAAGAACGGAATCATTGTGGATTTGATGAACTCATCATGGTTCCCATGAGTCCCAACCCCTAAGCCGCTTTCCGAGATTGATGGGAGAATGCCATCGATTAGCCTGCAATTAAATATCGATGCTTTACGACCCCATTGCCGACGATCTGGCACAGCAGTGTAATTAGCTTATATTTATATGAGTCTGCCTGCCATTAATTTGCTTTTTGCATATGTCCGAGTTGATAAAATTATTGCTATATATAATAGATATGTAGAAAGAATATACAAAGCATATAGCGATGTGCGATGGTTATTTATGTGTCTGATGGGTTAGCAATAAAAAGGCAAATGCAATGGCACGAGCACTACTCTATGCAAGCTTGCAATTCGCTTGGAATGAAATTAATGTCGGTACAATATTAGTTATTATCATTACATATTACCAACTTATTTATGAGTGTCATCAATTTCAGTCGTAATGCCCTCCCATCTAAGGTGAGGATGACTCTACCCATAGTTCTTCTCAAACAACAGCATTAACTCCGTTCACTTTTCGTATTATCCATATTTGACTTTGTGTTTACTTTTGCACTGGTAATTTCGTTTGGGTACATAACTCTTAATTAAATATGTTGATTCTGATGTTTTTTTTATTGTAAGCCTTCAGCCGCACGAAGGCGAAGTGATGGGAAATAGTTTTGTAGGTTCGGTCATTACAGCCCAGTAATATAGCCGACATTGTTAGGCAGATATACTATATACTATATGCCACATTCGCATCTAGTTTTAACAATAGGCTGGACATTAAGTCGGTAGTACAATCTGACCTGGTCTCAGTGGGTTAATGAGCAAACCAGAAACGAGTCCGAAAAACACATTTATGTATTAAGTATATATTAAGACGGAACTTACAGCAGCTTGTAATTTCTTAATTTAGAAACGTAAAACTTTGTTTTGCATAGACAAATAGTATAAAAACAATGTTGTAAGAATATAAAATTAAACATCATATTTATATTATATATATGCCTTTTATAAAATATTTTTCCTATTTGTTTGAGAATTAAGTTAATCCTTTTTAATTAGGGAATTCCGTATTGCTTAGATAAAGGTCACTAAAGGCTATCATATACATTAAAATTTAATAATTAACTTGTTAGTTAATTTGAGTGCTATTTAATTTTCATCGATAATCATATTTCATATTCAATAGCTATACAAATCTTAAATCTAAATAAATAACAGTGACAGTAATAGTGAGATTCTATTCGTTGATACGAAATTTACCATATTTTTTATTACAAAACTAATAAAGTACTTAGGAAATCCAATTAAAATTGATATTTCCTAGCATCCAAAGTGTCCATCACTCATCTTTTTAAGACCCAGAAGAGCACTTTTTAGATTGCTACTTCTTTGTGCGCTTGGCCAACTTGTTTTCCACTTTATTGATAAGTAACCCATCGAATGCTGTCGATCTGTTGTCGGATCGATAGCTTACAGCTTGAATTATAATCGAATAATACGATTATGAATATGCATGAACCCAAGAACGAGTATGTAAATGCAAAACTCTATAATGAATTTGCAAAAAAAAGAAGAAGAACTTTTTGTGTATATCTTTTTTTGTATCCAATATCCGAGGCGTGTGCTAGAGGAGTGCATTGAACCCATGGACTTGTGGGAGAGTTTTCTGAAGAGTGTTTATCTTTCGGGTTAGTACCGACCACTAGGGGTCTTACGAAAAATTCCCAGGCAATCTGCCATATCCGCCGAGCCACTATGCAAATATATGCCAAACTGAAGCATAGAAATAGAATCGGCCAACCGGTTCCACGTATTAATAGGCGATGATGGGCTATGGGAGATGTGGTTATAGATCTGGCTATGGCTATGGGTATGGGTATGGGTATGGGTATGGGTATGGGTATTGTGTACCCCAGATCACTTGATTAGGCCTCCGAGCAACGAGTCGATGGTTCTTGGCCAAAGCAGGAAGATGACTTAGTTTCCCCCCTGCCCCGCCTTCCTTTAAGTCTGAACCTTGGAGCAGAACTCACGATTTCATCATTCATCAGTTTGACACTTCGACTGCTTCTGCTTCTGCTTTTGGCCAATACTCTCTGCTGGCCAACTGACAAAACATTGATATAAATGTTGATTGTCGGCCCATTGTTGCCCGCCGCCAGTCGCGGTGATTAAATGCTGATAATTTGTTTGACTTTCGGCGATTGACACAGTGGTTTCAGCTCTAAAAAATGTTTGGCTAAATTTACTGGGGTATCTATTAAATGATTCAAATGATTGAAAAAGTAAAATTGTATGTTGTAAAAGAAGGAAAATTTTAAAGAACAACTTTCTTACAAAAAAATCCTATTTAAACAATAAGAAATTATGTAATGCCAAGAAGTGTTTAATATTAAATATGTAAAACAAAAAAATCCCCCATGTAATAGGTAAATATTTACCTGTTTTAAACTACTTAATAAAAAATTCCATCAATTTTAGCACCAATCCAGTCGGACATATGTATAATAATGAGCTTAAAAGCCATATTTGGTGTCATTTTTTGATAAGCACAATTGTGTGGCCTTCTCATCAAGGCGTAGTTGATGTTGTCAATAGATTTCCCAACTCCAGCAGCGACTTAGCACCCCCAACCCAGTGTGCAAACTGGAGGAGAAGCGGTTCCTCATGCGAAGTGAGCCGCGCATGCGCACGGATTAGCATAGGCAAACAAAAGAACCGCCGCATAAACGAGCATAACCGAATGTGGGTTATTATGAAATCGCAGCGAAAACGCTCTGCTCGTCAATGGCTTCTAATTGGGCCCCTCATCTCAATCGGATCGGTCCATCGATTTTTTCGGGGGTATAAAGGTGCGTGCTCTGGCCGCCGATGGAATTAGTTTGGTCAGCTGTTCGCAACCGTTCGTAACCACTTTAGAAGCCACTCAAGATGAAACCCTTTGCCTGCATCCTGGTGATCCTTGCCGCCATCCTGTCCGTTGGCCAGGCCTCCCTGGGCGGTCTTCTTGGCGGCGGTGGAGGAGGAGGCGGTGGCGGTGGAGCCGGCGGCATTGGACAGCTGCTGCAGAGCAAGCTGGGCGGTCTCGGTGGAGGATTGGGCGGCGGCCTGGGCGGTCTGAGCGGCGGCCTCGGCGGAAAGCTCGGCGGAGGAGGCGGCGGCGGCGGTGGATACTCCGGTGGCTACTCCAACGGCGGTGGATACTCCGGCGGCGGAGGATACTCCGGCGGTGGTGGATACTCCGGCGGCGGTGGATACTCCGGCGGTGGTGGATACTCTGCTCCCGTGGAGAAGGTGGTCATCGTGAAGGTCATCAGCGAGGGCTACTCCGGCGGCCAATCTGGCGGCTACTCCGGCGGCCAATCTGGTGGCTACTCCGGCGGCTACTCCGGTGGCTACTCCGGTGCCCAGTCCGGCGGCTGGTCCTCCGGTGGCGGTCAGTCTGGCGGCTGGAAGAAGGGCTGGTAGACAACAGCTTTGGGACCAACCACAAATAGTTCAAACTGCCAACCAAAAAGCCAAGCAGCTTAGGTTTTAATATTTTTTTTTTATTTTTTTAGAGGTATTTGATTGTTAGAATTTATGCAATATACACGAAAAGAATTTCCATTTTTAATTGAGTCTGTTTTTGGTTGATTGGGGTTGGAACCGGTTGACGGTTGGCGGATCACTTTGGCTTCCTGCTCTGACCCAATGGCCAATGGTTGAGGTCATCACCTGCCAGTGGAACGAATGCCAGGTAATGGGACAGGTACTTAGACTGATTTACCACTTTTTTTTTGTGCTGCACCACTTGCGCAAGCAAAAAGTGCATTTTATTGTTTTCCAGCCATCGATCATTCCGTCTGAAAAAGCGACTGGCAGTTGATCGCACAAAAGACCCAAATTTGAGTTTTATGCCGCCCATGAATTAAAATGCGGCCAGCGGTGGAAACGTGCAAAAGCCAAAAGGTTCAAGTGGTTCGGTTCTAGAATTGGTTTTCGATCAGCCGTGTGTAATTAGCATTTTGGGGACAAGCTAGGCCGATTTTAATTTGTAGAAAATATTCATTCTCCTCTTTGGGCTAGAGAACTAATTTATGAATATAGATTTTGTATTAAAAGAAGGGGATCTTTTTTTTTGCCAAGTGTATATCCCAATATATCACAATAATTTATTAAAAAACTTTTCTTTGCTTATAATGGTTATTTTAGTCATTTAACTATAAGAAAGATTTATGGGTCATCAGGACTTATGCATTTATATTGGCTATTATCGAATTTATTTGTTAAATATATTACACGATTAATGAGTTTTACAAAAGTTCTTGTCTGCATGAAATTAATATAATAATTGTTATTAATCAATCTACCCATAAAATGTATATTGTTATTTTGAAGTAGTTAACAAAGTTTCAAAAACAACATAGCCATTTAAATTCTGTGTATTATTTTGCCATTATTATAATGTATGTATATCCATTTTTCATTGCCAGAAAATAATAGAAGATTAGTTTAATTAACTAATAAATTTTTGTCATAACTTAGAGGGTATAAAAACTTCAACTTGCATTCTTTGTTGTTATAATTTATGTTAATGACGAAACGAAATGATCTGCATCTTTGGAATAATGAAAATACAATAGAATCTGATTCGGTGAGACACCTTCTGGTGAGGCCCGTCAATCTCGCGTGATGGGTTCTGTGTCAACTCATAAGTTGCCCCCGAACAATTGGACCCAAGCCCCTGATTGATTGATTGATTTGCCGGCGACCCGATTTGCCAGACAGCACGAATTATGTGCAACCGCAGCACGGTAGTCGAAGCCAAACACGCAGCTGCCTCCATCGCACACCTCCATCTGCAATGGGCGATCTGCAATTCCAATTCCAATTCCATCTGTATCTGTATCGCTATAGCCATCGCCATCGCCATTCTGAATAATGGGCAGGCATAAAGAACCGATCGCCAGATATCGGTCCCTGGCTCTATATATTGCCATCCAAACGCCGGCAGGCGAACTCAATTAAGTACTTTGCGGTTGCCACATAAAAATGGAGAGCCAATAGATCGATGATCATGATGCGGTATCAGTTCAACTGGGATACACTAGTCCACAAATTAATTGTATAAGTAAACTTAGAAATTTTAAAAAAAAGCTTACCAAATAATCTTATCAATAATTATTAATTACTATTTTTCTTTGCAAAAATACTAAAAATATTTAGCAATTAATTTCAATTTCCAAAACTAATTTAATAAAAATATTCAGTTAGCTGTTTAGAAACTAGATATTAGTAACTTACCATGTAATTTTTGTGATGACTTTGATGACATTGAACTATCATCATTTAGTCATATTTTAATAATTACTACAGAAATCACTATTGTTTCAAATCAACTTAATAAAGGTGTCGTAAAATATGCAACAATATATTTTAACAACATAGAATTCTAAATAAACGAAAGACGATGCTATTTATTTCGTTGCTTACTTTAAGACCTATTTATAAGTGAATTGAAAACTATGTTTCCCTATTTCTGCTGATTTTATCCCTTATCCCGAACGCCTTGGACCAGTTGTAGCCCAGTGCTCCCTGGCAAGTGCAGTCAGGTGGTGCTCCATCTGGAGGCGTTTGCAGGGCGCAGAACAGTAGACCTACGTGGGCCCACAAAGCGTACGAAATCGAAAGTTGGAGTTGGCATAATGAGCCCCCAGTGCTGAGGTGAGTTGAGCCACCCCGACCCACTCCGAACCACCCCGAACCACTCCGAACCACCCAGCCCAACCACTGGCCATTGTGAGCTGATCGCTGGCAGTTTTGGCAATTACATCTGATTACACGAGGCAGTTGCTGTGGCGAAGCTGTGGCTCAGTGGCTCAGTGGCTCTGTGGCTCAGAATCTTGGATGGGTATAAATAGCCGAGAGTGGCTGCAGTGGGGCATTAGTTAGTGCACGGCAGCTGCGGAGATGCAAACCACGATGACAACGCGACGACTTGGCCTTCTCGGTCTGCTGGTGGTGCTGGGTTGCATAGTGGCCCAGGGCAAACCACATGGCTGGAGCAGCGGTGGCGGAGGCGGCGGTGGTTGGTCCTCCGGTGGCGGATTGGGAGGAGGCAGCAAGGTCATCATTAGCAGCTGGCCCTCCAGTGGCGGCGGCGGCGGCGGTTGGTCCTCGGGCGGATCAGGATCGGGTGGCTGGAAGAGCGGCGGTGGAGGCGGCTGGTCATCTGGTGGCTCGGGAGGCGGCGGCTGGAAGAGCGGCGGTGGTTCCAGTGGCTGGTCCTCCGGCGGCGGATCCTCTGGCTGGCCCAGTTCCGGTGGATCCTCTGGCTGGAAGTCCGGTGGCAGTTCGGGATTATCCAGTGCCCTGTCCAGTCTCTCGGGATGGAAATCGCAGGCTTTGAGTAGCCTGAGCAGCGGTTGGAAGAGCGGCGGCGGCGGAGGAGGAGGTGGCTGGTCATCTGGAGGATCTGGAGGCGGTGGCTGGAAGAGCGGCGGTGGCTCCGGCGGTTGGTCCTCCGGCGGCGGATCCTCCGCCTGGCCCAGCAAGATCAGCAGCGGCTGGTCCTCTGGCGGCGGTGGTGGCAGTGGAGGCGGCTGGTCCTCCGGCGGAAGCGGCGGCTGGAGCTGGTAAACAAATCCCGAATAAGTGACCACATAGAACCGAGGCAAACCGGCGACGCGGCGATTCCACTACTCAACTTGTATATAACATTTCTCTGCCCTAAACTTAATCAACCTTTTTTTTTGTGTATCTAAATATGTGAATAAATCTTACGAGAATGTAACTTTGATCAGTGTTTTTCGTTTCGAGGGTAAGTGGTTTATATTATCCAATATTACTTCAAAGACCTTTTAAATGAATAGCAAGATTATTTTTTAAGCTCATGTCAAAAAAACGGAACAATCTTATTGCTTACTAAAACCGAAAGTGCAAAAAAAGACAATGATTTAGATTTAGATTGTGCCATGTACATTTACATTAATATTTGTTCTATTTCTTTAACGTTTAGGGAAAATACAGCAAAATCGTCATCTAAAAGGTTTGGATATTTTGTATTTTGGATATTTTGTGTTTGTTATTTATAGGTGGAATTCTTTATGCTAGTAAAACTAACAAACCTATTATTCGTAAAATTGTTACGCACAATTAATTGTGCCTTGGATATAGTTTAGCTTTAAATTTGAAAAAAAGATTTGGTTTTCATTTTTAGGGTCTTAAAGATATATTTTTTTAAATGTATGTCAAAAATATATCCCTTTAAAAGAATTTACAGAAGAAAAAAAATCAAATATTAAAGCTTGAAACATCATTTTAGAAACCGAAGCGAAAATAAAAATTTCGCCTTTTGGTTTGGTTTTTTAAAAAAGAAAACAAAGCATATACAAAATGCATAAAATATTTTTATTAGTACAAAAAATAGTAATAGCAGAAATAGAAGGGCTTCTGGTTGAGTAGAACGGAAAGATCCAGGGGGTTGTCTCTATCTCTACGCCATGGAACACATGTCGGCGGATTAGGCGCTCTTGGTGGGGCAATTACCAACCACCGCCGTGCTTGTTGCCACCACCTCCGCCGCCACCGCCTCCGTAAAGGCCACCGCCCCCTCCACCCCCGCCTCCGTGCTTGTTGTTGCCTCCATTGCCGCCCTGCCAGGACACGGAACTGCCGCGGTTTCCGGCCAGGGACTTGCTGCCACCTCCATGGCCACCACCACCATGGCCACCGCCTCCATGGCCACCGCCATAGCCTCCTTGTCCACCTCCCTTTCCGTGGCCACCTAGAATTTTAAATCGGTGTATTAACATTTATATATGTTTTTTGTAATGTAATACAATTACCTTGATTGCCACCTCCATAGCCTCCCTGTCCACCACCTCCATGACCGCCTCCACCGCCTCCTCCATTCTTCTGCCAGCCTCCTTGTCCACCGCCTCCATGTCCACCTAAATAAATTTAAAAATAAGTAGAAAAATAACAACATTTACAGTATATAAGTTTGGGTACATTATTTTAGAGTCAATTATAAGTTTCATATATTGTCATACATTTTATCTATTGAAATTTACATATTTTAATAAAAAGAAATTATACATTTATATTTATGATAATTAACAATTGTAATGTGAAAGACCTTAATTGATAAAAGGCCAAACAAAGTAATTTTTGATCAAGTTAATAATCATACTAATAATGAATGCGTCTTTGCAAGCTTTCAAAAGAGTTAACAAGATGAAAAAGGATGAAATTTTAAAAGTGTTGTATCATTTTTATAGTTATAATGAGGGTGAAGGAAATGTTGCATATACTATAAAAGATCAACAAGTGCTGAGGTACTGGAAGTATTGGTTCAAATAATTACACTTACCTTGGCCGCCACCGCCGCCTCCTCCGTTTTTCTGCCAGCCTCCTTGTCCGCCGCCTCCGCCACCGCCGTATCCACCACCACCGCCACCGCCACTACCACCGCCGTAGCCACCACCGCCTCCTCCGCCCAGCAAACCGGCCGAGGCAAAGGCGATCATTAGACCGCACACAAAAACAAGGATCAAAGCGCGACGCATCCTTAAATATCACTCGAAAAAAATCCAAAAAAAAAATCAAAGTAGAATGGATCGACTTAGATCCGCTGTGCAAACGCTGCTGGAGGCTCAACACCACTGATGAGCTAACCCAGAACAGAGGCATGTTTTTATAGCTACTCCAAGGCGGAAACTTCGGCTGAGTCAGCAGCCTGCCATCCCTCCAACTCCAGTCGATCTACCAATTCAACAATCCAACGACCCAACGACGATCCGAGCTCCCAAAGGAAGGTTGAGAACTGCACTTCATGTCGGCACAATGCGGCTTTGGTTGTCTGGTTTGAAAAAGTCTCAAGTACGGCGGCGCACTCGGCGGATACGCAATGTGCGCCGGCCTGGGAACATCGCGCATACGCCACCGCACCACTTGCAAACTGCTGAGCCATGGCTGCATCATTAATTGCCAGCGCACATAGCACATTTGGCCACGAAACGCCTTGCCATTTGTCTTACAAGTTTACTATTTCCATGCTAAATTCTAAGCATTTTTTTTTATTTTGCGCCGGCCGTGCAATTTGTTGTTGAATTTTTCTTAATTATTATTTTGAAGAATTTTGAAGTCTTGCCGCTTGGCGGTGTTAAGTGAAGTATGTAATTTATGGTACACATTATCCAGCGGTGTGAGAATATTTAGTGAATTAAATATATTTATAAAAAATAAAAATAAATAAAAGAAAAAAAATTCAAAAATTTTAAATTGCAACAAAAGAATTTCATTTTATTTAAGCTTACCTTTTAATTAATTAATCAGTTAGTTATTAACACCCTTTAAAAATTAAGAACTAATTAAAAGCAACGGCAAAAAAGATTACAATTAAGATTTAACCCAAAAAGTTGACATGTTTCCCAAGCCGCAGAGCATTTTAATGGTGATCATAAACAATCAATTTTCCTATAATTTTATTTTCATTTTCGGCTTTGCTCCTCGCTATTGCCATGCAATATTTGCGGCAATTAATCTTCATTTATACAGCAGCCGCAATCGAATCGCTAAACGTACGAGACACGACTCCGCAGACACTGGTTCAATGTCAATTGGCGTTCAAACATGGCTGGGTGCATGCTCAAGTGCATTACTTACCATAAATTTCATCAACTCCACTGCTGTGTGTGATGTGATGTGTCTGTGAATATGGCCAACAGCTTTTGTTTGGCTGCCAACGCGTGCTGCAGACATACATATACACACATTTTTATTGAGGTTCAACCCAGAGCCAAGTCCACAAGATAACCTCATCAAAGCCCAAAAAAAAATTGTCTGCATACAGTGGTATTTAAAAGAATTAAAGGGTTTTATCAAAAGGGCAATACTTTACAATGGCGAGAATAATACAATTTTTAAATTAATTATATGATAAACACTTAAGAAGGTGGCTTATATTTAAAAAATATTAAATCATAATTGTTTTGATCATTTTATTATGATAAAATGGCGATAATAATGATAAACTTCATTTATTACATTTTATTTCAATTATATTTTTTACATAAATCTTTCTTACATAATTTGAATGCTTTAACAACTTTTAAAATGTGCCTTCTATTTATATTAAAAGTTGAGTTAATAAAATAGTATAAAGGCTAAACAGCTTTACTCTTTTCATAGCTTTTAATTAAGCCGTAAAAAATATATGTAAAACCATGTTGTCTTCCTATTCTAATAAAGACAGGTATATAAAATGTTTATGTGGTTTTGAAAATGAAACCACAGTGCCACCGTTTCGAGATGATTATGACGATGATGATGATCTCCGCTGAACTCCAATCGCATCACCACCTTGGCCACCACGACGCTGTTCCACAATCATTTGCAAAATGCATAGAATATTGATAATTGCTCAGCCAGAGATACTCGTCTCTCAAGTTTAGAATGTTAATTGCTAGCGATCCATAATTCAAAGATGCATCATAAAAATGCTAAGTTAGTTGCATTTATGCATTTACTTTGTTTATTTATTTGTTACAAAAAAAAAGGGGAACTTAAAAACTATGTTACAAAATCGTGAAGTGTGAACCAGGTGCAAAGAGAGGGGGTTTGGGATTCGGGATTCGGGATTCGGGATTGGTATTGGGATTGTGATTGGGTTGCTGGAGCTTGGTCTCCTAGCCATGGTGACTCCTAGTCCTAGTCCTTCACCACCAGCCACTGTTGGAGCCGGAACTCGACCATCCAGAGTTGCCGCCGCCCCAGCCAGAGTTGCCGCCCCAGCCAGAGTTGCCGCCCCATCCGGAGTTGCCGCTGGTCCAGCCAGAGTTGCCGCTGCCCCATCCGGAGTTGCCACCGCCCCATCCAGAGTTTCCACCCCATCCAGCGTTACTGCTCCATCCAGAGTTGCCGCCTCCCCAGACACCACCACCGCCTCCTCCGCCCAATTTGATGACCTTGATCACCTGCGGCTGCTGGGCACTCCAGCCACTGTTCCATCCCGAACTGCTGCCGCCCCAGGGATTCGATCCCCAGCCCGAGGATCGCACCACTCCTGCGGAAACGCAGGCCACCAATGCGCAGAGTACAATGAACACCTTCATCTCGTCTTGAGTTTTGAGTTTCACGTTTTGCGTTTCGCGTTTTGCGTCCTGACTTGGTGCGTATGTAAATCCCGACTTTTCGCTGTGCGTCTCGAAGTGTGGCACTCGAATGCTGTAACCACTGGACAGCCACTCGCTATTTATCGCAAAACACTGCGAAAAGTGGCCCAGACTAATCTGGTTGAGAATCCACAAAATAAATCTCGCGGGTGGCTGGGCCAGGTCGGGTAATTGCAGTTTATTAAACCACTTTGAGCGTCCGATTCTTGACCAGGGTCAACCGCTTTACAAGCAGAAGCCACCACTTTGTAGCCATTGCCCATCAAGTCAGCCAACCATGTGGCCAAGTTGCAAAATTCGTACATAACTCACACGCTTGATGGATCATTTCCTCGCCTCGCTGCTGGCGGAAACTGCAGCAGAGCCACACACGGAGAAAAAGTAGACTACGTTTAAAAAATATTTACATTTAAATAATTCACAAGCCAAAATAAGTGGTCAAATTTTGTTTATATATTCAATAGTTCCCAGATAAAACATTAAGAAATTTACAATAAGTTTTGTTTTCTTTTTGTTGAAGTTTTGAGATTACATAAGCGTTCCCTAAAATAAATTAAGAACGGATTTAGGGGTAACTCTTTAAATTGTAGTTTTATTTTTGTTTTTATTCCTTTCTACTTTTTTTTTCAGTGCTGTCAGAGTGATCTTTGGCTTAAGCCGCTAGAGCTGGCGTCGGGTGAGTCATTTGTCAAACTGGCAGCTAAAGCCGCAAACGGAGACACTTGCAGATGGAGATGGAGATGTAGATGGAGCTGCCGATGCAGATGCAGATGCAGATCCCAGGTGAAGGGGCCAAAAAAAAAAGGAGAACCAACTGATACAGTGGAGAGATCAGCGCGAAAGGTAACTGGATCTGGGCGATGGCATTTCCTGGTCTTGATAGTCAGCTCAGGGACTTGGGAAAGCCCCGACATATTAAGAAATATATACATATTTATCCACCTTAAACTGGTCCCATTATACAACAAGTTTATAGAGCAAAAACTTTTTATTGTTAATAGACCATTACGCTCATTGAGAAGTCAACTTTCCAGTCATAAAGATGTAAATCCATCTAGGACTTCTAGGCGATTAAAGATCACCTAGAAATATGTATCATTGATACCGGCGAGATGAAATCATCGCTCCCCGGACAACAACATTCACCAATTAAGGCGGCTGACCTCAAGTCGGCTGTAAAGCTCATCTGGACCCAAACCAGATGACATCCAATTCCACTGCCAATTTCCGCCAATCACCGGTCCCACTGTACCTGGCCGCCACTCAGATACTCACATACCCAGATAATAGTCAACAGAAAAGCCAACTCCAGTCAACAGTCAACAATTATGAGCTTATGGCAGTGGCGACACCGCGGCCTCCTTTCCACATGTTGTTTATCTTTCGGTTTCCTTTCATGGGGTATGATGAATTATCCAGAATTTTTAAATGTTTTCCCCGACTTAAATGCTAAATCAACGCTTAATTATTACTGATTATTATTTGTGATTATTTATATTTATTACAACCTTGTTGTTACAACTTTGCTATCTCACCACTATCCTTCGGTTTGGCACAAACAGTATTCAGACTTCGTGATACTCGTCCATTCCGTCTTTTGACTTTGCATAAGCATAATAAACACAACTTTAATTGAATTGTCAACGCTTAGAATGCGATTTACATGGCCATAAAAAAACTACAAGTTAGAAAAAAAAACAATACATAATACTAGCTTAAGGAATAAAAGAAGGGGAGAATCAGGGGGCCGAGGCCGCTGAGGAATCGGGGCACTTGCCGCACTGCTCCAAGTGGGCGGATCTTACACTGGAGGAGTGTATTCCGAAGGGCGAAGAGGCCCTGACCTCCGCGAAGTAGTTACCCTTGATATTCTGCGGCACGTCGTAGCCCATGGGCACCCCGTTCCCGGAGCAGCGGAATTCCCTGAGCTTGGACATCGACGTGCAGCGCGTGGCCATGAAGTTACCCTCATTCCCGGGATACACAGTCTCCGCGTAATATTCCCAGGATCGTTGGTGGGCACAGGACGCCGAGAGACAGCCCGCGGGCAGAGGTCCGGTTCCGCCCGGATAGAAGTCCACATCGCCCAGCGGATCCCGCTTTCCCATCACCCCGGAGTTGCTATGGATCACGTCGACGAAGCGGCCATCTCCGCGCATGAGACCCGAGAGCACTTCACCCTCGTTGAAGCACGGCTTGGCCGGATCCAGTCCGGTGATCCGGGGCACCAGCTGACCAGTCAGGCGATGCAGGTGCCGCCCCGCGGATCCCACTATGTGGGCGCCCAGGCTGTGGCCAATCAGGTGGATGTTCTCCACGGGCATCAAGTCCAGCAGCTTCACCAGCCCGAGGGCTATGTTCTCGCCGATCTCCTCCGTGTTGAAGGCCGACCACGTGTACAGGGTGTTCACGAATCGAGCTGCATCTACAGCCTGCAATTAGTGGGTATTATACAATGAAATTAACTATAATTCATTCACTACTCACCACAAAGTTGACATCGCCGCGACAGTTGAAGGCCTTTGAGAACACATCTATGGTCTCCGATTTATTGACGTTGGTGGTCCATCCGGTGGCCAGGATGACCACCTTCTTCTTGGGATCGAACAGAGGGCTCTTCCACATGTCCTCCGGACTTGTGAGCGGAAAGCTGGTGTTTGTGCATGCCGTTTGCAGCTGGAAGTGCATCTGATTGATGTCCGGCGTAAATTTCGACTGGAGTTTGTTGGAAGCCAGCGCCTGGGAACCTGGAAAATTGCATTATTTATAAGGATGTCTATAATTTAAATACCCTGTTTCCTATAAATTATTTAATTTAAAGAAAAGGAATATATTAAAATCTCCTGAAATCTTTAATTAAAAAGTGTATTTTTTGGCAACCATAAAAAAATAACAAAATTTTAATTTATTCTGATCAAAATTCCCGCAATTAAAAGTTACTCACACATAAGATTCACGGCGGAGGCCATGAGCTCGAGGGGATAGCCGGCGATGAGCTGAATGCTGCCATCGAGGATTTCTTGGGTCGTGGGCAGCAGGCTGGGATTCAGGATGCTGGTGCCGATGTTCCAGAGGTTTTTAATGAAATCCGTGACTGACTCATGCGAGGGAACCAAGAGGAGCACGAGCACCAGGAGAGAAAGCATCGTTGGCGTAAGTCGTTCCATTCTGGAAGGGATCTGGACGAGTACTGAGTGCCGGAAGCCCAGTGACAACCGTATTTATAGCTCCAAATCTTTTGTTTTAAAAGAAGAAATTAGTTCTCAATTTTATCTGTCAATTTAAGAGGTCATGAGTATTCTCCAGAATACTTGAACCCTCTAATCGGCGAATTGATAGTGACACACAGGATGAATACTTTTGGGATTTCACAATAAACATTCAAGGTCGATTTTTGAGCCCCTTGCCACTGATACACTGAAAAATATTTATAGTCCTTCGAATTTGGCTTTCACGGAAATAATAATCTCTTAATGAATTACATTTAATTTGTTCAATCAGAATTAATATTTCTATAGATTTATTTATTGAAAATATAATATTAAATCTATTGACTAAGCTAAGAAGCAGCTTTTCTGATTCATAATGTCCGATCCTAAATATTAAAATAAAAACAAATAATGAACTGAAGTCTAATCGGACAATGGCCGAAACAAAAACAATTTACGACTCAAAATATATTCGTGATGATTTTGATACATACTTTTTATGGGATTTTTAAGCGAGTATAGTAAAACGAAACAAGTATATATCCAGTAAATCCGCACTATGCAATCATATATTTTAAAACAACAAGGTAAAATAAAGTATAAAACAATGTAACAAGCTTTAAATAATATACATTTTGTATTAGTATTTATTTGAATGGGCACATGTTTGCTATTTATAACGCCTCGCAATCGTATCAATATCCATCAGTATCACTTAAGCGAGATTCCAACTTCGCGATTCTCATTCATTCAACAATAAACATAAATTTATTTGAATTGTCAACGTGTAGAAGGAAATAGCATATCGACCACAATGGGGTTAGTCTTGGCCACAAATAAAATACTAATTAAAAAAAAAAACAAGGCTAATACTAGCTTGGGATAGAAAACAGGAGGATGGGATGCCTCAGAACCAGGACCGCGATTTCGCCGTGGTTGAAATCGGCGCCGGGGTCGTTGAGGAATCGGGGCACTTGCCGCACTGCTCCAAGTGGACGGATCGCACACTGGAGGCGTGCTTTCCGAAGGGCGGAGAGCCGCTGACCTCCAAGAAGTAGTTGCCCTTGATATTCTGCGGCACAGCGTAGCCCATGGGCACCTCGTCGCCGGGACAGCGGAATTCCCGGAGCCGGGCTATCGAACTGCAGCGCGTGGCCATGAAGTTGCCCTCATTCCCGGGATACACGGTCTCCGCGTAATACTCCCAGGATCGGGCGTGGGCACAGGTCACCGAGAAACAGCCCGCGGGCAGGGAACCCATTCCGCCCGGATAGAAGTCCACATCGCCCAGCGGATCCCGCTTGCCCAGCACCCCGGAGTTGCTATGGATCACGTCGACGAAGCGGCCATCTCCGCGCATGAGACCCGAGAGCACTTCACCCTCGTTGAAGCACGGCTTGGCCGGATCCAGTCCGGTGATCCGGGGCACCAGCTGGCCAGTGAGGCGATGCAGGTGCCGTCCCGCAGATCCCACTATGTGGGCGCCCAGGCTGTGGCCAATCAGGTGGATGTTCTCCACCGGCATCAAGTCCAGCAGCTTCACCAGCCCCAGGGCTATGTTCTCACCAATCTCCTCCGTGTTGAAGGCCGACCACGTGTACAGGGTGTCCACGAATCGAGCTGCATCCACCGCCTGCAATTCAGATGTATTTTTAATTATCGAAAAAATGTTATCGGTCATTTTGTAAATTTAACCATTTTGAACTCATTTCTTGATTCACTATTGACTCATTCTTAACTTTCTTTATTTTTCTTTCTTCGTAAGTTTAAAGCTGATTATTGAAAAAGCTTGGAAATTAGTGGATATTTATTTTTAATTGGTTTAACTTAATAATTGAATCATGTGTTATTATGAATGACTTTAATTCAAAAAATAAATTTTAGAGCATGACGCCAAGTTGATTAAATTAATATTACATGTATTCAATGCGGAAAACATTTAGATTAAGTCCAGGGCTAATAGGTTGAACTTGTTTGTAGAACAAACTAATCTTTTCAACGTCTTATCAATCGGAAACTTATTAATAATACAAATGTATATTAAAAACTAGTTTTCTAGTTGATTATTTAAAATAACCTATATTAACCCTTTAAGGCATACATTATCTATCTGTTTCCAATAATAAATTAAATTAAATTAATTTAGTACTCACCACAAAGTTGACATCGCCGCGACAGTTGTAGGCCTTTGAGAACACATCGATGGTATCCGATCCATTGACGGTGGTGGTCCATCCGGTGGCCAGGATGACCACCTTCTTCTTGGGATCAAACAGAGGGCTCTTCCACATGTCCTCCGGATTGGTGATCGGAAAACTGGTCTTTGTGCATGCCGTTTGCAGCTGGAAGTGCATCATTTTGATGTCCGGGGTAAATTTCGACTTGATTTTGTTGGAAGCAAGCGCCTGGGAACCTGCGTAAATAGATTAAATGGGGATGATTTTTATATTATTAATACCTCATTGCATGGTACAAATGTACACCCAAAAGCTTTTTTTTTAAGAAAAGTGAGTTAACAAAAATCGAAATTTAAAGAAAGAAAAAGTGTTTACAATTTAACGCAAAAGACACCAAAATCAACGACCTAATGCCGGCCAAAAAATTAGATTGACGCAAATAGGTCACCAGAAAACGCAAGTACAATAATCTAAAGTATATAGGTGATATATTTCCCTCCAGAAGATACTTACAGATGACACTTAGGGAGGTGGAGACGAACTCGAAGGGATAGCCGGCGATGAGTTGTTTGCTGCCATCGATGAGACCTTGGGGCGTGGGCAGCAGACTGGGATCCACGATGCTGGTGCCCACATTCCCGATGGAATCAATCACATCCGGCAGGGTCCATTCGATGGAGTGCGAGGGAGCCAGGAGCTGGAGGAGGAGCACGAGCACGAGCACCAGGGGCGGAAGCATTTTTGGCGCGATTCGTCCCATTCTGGACGAGAACTCAACGAGCACTGAGTGCCGGAAGCCAAGTGACAATCGTTTTTATAGCCTCGAGAGGGAGAAACGGAATACGACACTTACATCGCCTAATATATAAATAATTCCACTCAACTGTGACCATATCGATGTGTTTTCCGATCAGATAAGGTGCACTTGTCACTTAATTTGTTTCCATTTCGATTCGTCGCCTTCGCCACATCTCGTCGAGAAATCGAGATCGGGCTAAAAGCAAGCTGTACTCGCATGTCCCGAGCTAATCTGAATACATTTCAGTTCTAATCGAAAACTAAAGCAAGTCGCAGGGCATTAGAAATTATGAAGACAACGCCCTGTTATGCACTCGGCGCTCAACCGATGGGCTTAATACCCTTTCACACTCCATTATCAGCATCAAAATTCGATTTCTAAAATATTTGTTTTTACAGCCGAAAATAGATTCTATTTTTATCTGAAAAACAAACACCGGATCTAAGAGTTCGTAGGTATGAACCCTCTAATCGCTGAACTGATAGTGACAGTATTTCTTGGATTTCCCCAAAATCGGCAGACGACTGGCTTGGCCCGTGCCACTGATAGTGTATCATGATGTACACTGAGAAAATTTTAATTTGGGTCTTACAAAAATAATACTGCCTAACAAATTAACAAATTATTCAATTACCCTGTATATTCTTAGAGACCTATCAACTACACATTTTTTGTTAATATTTTATCAGCTAATCAGTTACAAAATAAAAATTTAATAAAAATACAAGAATAAAATGTAAAACGAATACACATGTATGTATTGAAATCTAGTCCAATTATGGCAATTTTAAAGTCTAGCTATTTTATGGATTTATTTTTGCAGTGCAAGGTTAATTCTCACGTATTTGACATCAAATGCTGCTGCCGGTTACGACAACAGAACCATATTAATGCGGGCCCATTGCTGACTACTTATTTCCCATTCCGTATTCCCCGATCTCGGCGCCCCAATCTCCAAGCCATTGTCATTTTGTCAACGTGCCCTGCGCAATTTTTGTGGATCCGAAACAAAAAGACGTCACAAAAGAGTTAACTTTGGGTTGACATCAGCGTTCTCCAATTTCTCACACAAATCACGGACCGATTCCAAAATATCCGGAAGAGGGCAGAGGGGCTCGCCTGCGGTTTGTCCTTGAAATTATCGGGATTAACCCTTTGGTAGCTGTGCTGCCTAACAATTGAGAGATACATCTTGTGTAAGTATTGTACATCTTGTAAGTTATCTCGCATACTGACTTATCTCTCATCGCTTTTGAATAAAATTAGCTTGCTTACACAAGGGATGAAAATAATTTAAATGGCTTTCAATATTATTCAGAAATAAATCTACATATAGAGATAAAAAATATTAAGCATGTAGATTTATTGAACATAATATTTAATAGCTTGTTAGAAGTTCTGAGCGAAAGTTGTTAAGTAATATGGATTTCATCAGAAATAAGTCTTAGTTGGTAGAAAGTGGGTATTTTAGGACTTTGAGCTATATAACACTGACTTAAATTTGGTTTCTATACTATTTTTATAATTTTTAGAATATTTATCTAGGCAAATAAGTTAGGAACAGGCTCCGCATGCAGTATTGGAGTGGGTGAAGGTCTGCGGATTGGCATTCTGGCCATAGGGCTCCGCTCCATTGGCGCCCACGTAGAACAGGCCCAGTTCCGTGGACTTGGCGGCATAGCCCATCACGGTCCGCGTGTCCCGGCAATAATGTCCAAGTAGGAGCTCCGAATAGCGATCACATTGCCTGCCCAGAAAGTCGTTCGCATTCGTGGGATAAACCGTTTCCGTCCAGTAGTCCACGGCCCGCTGATGCGAACAGCTAATGGACGTAAGGCCCTCGCAGCCCGCCTTGAATGGAATCCGCCCCTGGACAAAGAAATCCGCATCGCCGGCTCTTTTCGGTGAACCCAGCATGCCGGGATTCGAGTGGATAATGTCCACGAACCGGGCATCTCCACTCCGCAATCCCTCCAGATCGTTGCCGTCGTAGAAACAGGGATTGGCCGGGTCCAGTCCGGTTATTCGCCTCAGGGCCAATCCCCCCGACATTTGCCGGTAGTTCCGACCTGCGGATCCTGCTATCTGGGCGCCCAAACTGTGACCCACCAAATGCAACTGGTTGGTCACATAAGTCCGGTTCAGCTGGAGAAGGGCCTTGGCTAGACTGGCCCCAATAACCTCGGTATTCAAGGCCGACCATGTATACAGGGTGTCCACAAAGTCAGCTGCATCCAGAACCTAAAAAAAATATGGTAGTTATGTGTGGAACCAGGATTTTATGTGCTTAAATGCTCCAATTGAGATTGTCTCATATATTCTATATTTTAAAACTTAATTTCATGTCCGTATTTATATCTTTATCTTTAGGAATATGCATATTGTTAAGAATATCACTATATCACTAGATTCTTAAATTATTTATTTATTTATTTCCGCTTTTTTAATCAATACCCTGAGAAATAATTTTCATATGTTGGAATGTCATACATCGTTTAATTCGTTATAAAATTTCCAATCAAGTGGTATTCTCAGAAAAAAAATTTAAAAAAAAATATTTCGCAAAAAATCATATTTTTAGCAAAATAAATTTTCGCGAAAATCCGGAAACACCTTTGTAAGGGATTTCAAAACACTAGCAATATCTTTAGTAACCTCTTATATATGTTTATCTTTAAATATGATAAAATTGTATCTTTATCTTTGGACTCACCAAAACATTGGTATCATTGCGACAAGCATAGGCCTTGACCACGGGTCCGCTGTTCGAATCGTTGATGCTCGTCCTCCAGCCGGTGATAAACAAGACCGTAGGTCGATCCTGATAAAATCCCGGAGTGGTCCACAGGTCCTTAGCCTGAGCCAGAGGAATACTGACATTCCGGCACTCGAATTCGGTGCGAAGCAGAAACCTCAGGCGCGACACATCCGGAATGAGTTTGGACCTCACCACGCCGAGATCGACGATGGTGCTGCATATATAGTTTAGGGTGGAGAAGGCTATATCCAGGGGCAGGCCGATGAACAGCTGACGCAACTGATCCTGCAGGCGATCCACGATCAGATCCTTATATGAATTTGGAAGCTGTCGCAAATTCAGGGTATTAGTTTCCTCAAATCTCGAAATTTCCCTATCGATAAAAAACCCATTTTTACAAAAGCTTGTGTTCTTGGTCCTTAAGAAATCCAAAACTATATCCTTTTCAGAACTGGATGTATATAAGTCATTATTTTCCAAAGAAGTCCTATTTTTAGAGCTGTCATTCCTTGTTATTTTTTCGTTTATTGTTTCCGGTATTTGAGTTTCCAAGCTATCTATACTTTGCGAAATGGATATGTTTCGTATTTCATTTTTTAAAACATCTACATTTAGGGAACCGAATTTATTTATTATTTTCTCATATGGAGAACCAAATTCCATTGAGTTATCGGACTGTAAGTTATCCACAATTGAAGAAGTCGACTCGTTAGAATTTTTGCTGTGCCAATTTTTTGCTGATAAAGTTTCTATTGGAACATCCGCACTCTGAGAAACAGATTGCTTTATAGTCTCTGCCCTTATGGGCTCTGAAATCGGAGCCAGCACCACCAGCAGCACCACAAGAACCGGAAAAGACATGGTTATCCGAGAGACACTGGATAAAACTCAGTCATGGCTAGCTTTTTATATGTAGACCAAGTGATAAACCTTTCTTTTTTGCAAATTCAAGTGAAATTTATGACCCACTGACATATAGATGTGTTGTTCTAAGACACGACTCCACGATATAGCCCACGATACACGTGTCCGAGCTTCACGATCTACTTTTGACTTGCAAAATCCAGGTAGCAATCGCATAATTTCCAAGCAAATATTTTGCGTTAGGAAATGTGGCTCTGGCTGCCAAAAAGCGATCCACCTAATAACCACTTCGCTTCGCTCCCAATTGCCCGATCCTCAACTCGCCGCCCCCACCATCAACACAAAAACAAAAAAAAAATTAAACACAAAACACAAAACAAGCGGTGCTATTACATTGGTAATTTGTGGTGTTGCTACCGTCGTTGATGTTGCCGGCACGCAACCCGCCAGCAACATCGCCGATCGCCGGCAACAGCAGCAATCAGAAGCGACGGGAGTTGGCCATTGGAATGGTGGACTCACAAATTAATACTACCCAATTAATCACACTGGCCGACTTGGAAAGCATACTAGAATGCAAGGAGGACTAGGTGTTGCTACACCCAAAAATAAAATAAATTGATAATGTCATCTTAATGTCAACTTAATTCTGTGGTAATGCAAAATAGGTATCTTACATATAAATAAGCTTAACAATGTATTACATTTGAATACTGTAATGATATGCAGTTGTTTTTAAGTTTAAACACTATTACATTATACCAGAATTTGCAGTTTATTGGAAGTCATACACTTAATATTTAACTTACTTAACTGAATAAAATTGCCCTGTTCTTTGTTTTAAGATATTACAATTTAAATACAATAATTTCCCCAGAACCTGAATTCCTTGAATTATATTTTATAAGTTAGTTTTAGTTAAGATATGTTATAGTAAATTTTATATTTTATTCACTTGAATTATTGTTGGAAAAAGCACCCAAAGTTCGTTGCAGTCCGGTTTTTTTTGGTTTTTGGCAATTTATTCGCACATTTCGCGTTGAATTGCCGGCAGGCACAATCGACAAATGTTTATATGTACATCGCTTGCTGTTTTGTTTCGCTTTTCCAACTTTTGCAATCTTCCAGACACTGGTGCTCCATATACGTAGTATCTATACCTAGTTGGGAATATGGGTGAGTGTGTCAGACGCATGGGGCTGTTGGCTTTTTTTTGAATCAAGCGCGGGGTTTTCGCTCTGCTGGCTTCTTGTGATTTTAATTGCAGTCAAGACTCTCATAAAATCGAAATCAATTCAGATTGCTCTATATCCATTAGGCTATATTACCCCAAGTGCCAACGAGGGTGGTTAAGATATAACTACATGTAATATGGGCTTAGTGTAAGCAAATGTTTCTTGATTTATTTGTATAGAGTTTTAGTTTTACTTTGTTGCGTTTCCTTTATTTTATAATACAGACTCTATGGTTTCTTTCGTGGGTGAAACTCCTTAAAAGGCTACCCAGGATTTCAGAATAATCTGGTATGAATGCCGCATTATTTCTGAAATAAGCTCCGCAAATAGTGAATTGCACTTTTGGCCACTTTGCACAATGGACATGTCTCACTGCATTGTTTGCGGCCGAGAAATATATACCCAAGAAATACGAGTGTATGTGAATGGGTCTTTATATTTGCCATTCTACTTCCACTATTTGCTGTTGATAAACCCAATTAGTTGGCCTGTGCCAAAAAAAAAATGTAAGCTTCCGCCTCGAGTGCAAATATGCGGAGGGTTAAGGCCCACAGGGATGCCATAAATGACGCAATGGGCGAAAAGCATCGAGAACGGGCCTAATAATGGCCAAAAAAAAAAAAAAAACAAAATTAATAATAACAGAGAAGACGAAAATTATTACGTATACGCACCATTGCAACAGGCTTTTCAATGGCCCCGCCACTTAGACGTCGACGTAATGCGGAGTAAGTGCAGCAAATTATCAGCTCCAGCCGAACGAGCGACTGCCACGAGGCAGATGTCCGTTGCAACATTTTTTTTTTCTGTGTTTTTCGCTTTTCGCCAAACAAAAGACTGTGTAAAAGTCAGTGGAAAATGCAGGAAAATGCGGCATGTATTTGCGGTCGAATGTGAGTGCTCGAAGCATATAAAACCAAATGCAGTTGAGAGCAGTAAATTAGTTGACTCGAAACATTTCGCTGCGTCGGTTAAACCCATTGCAAATAGATATTTTTTTTTGGTAAAACAATCAGAAAGAAAAGCCCCACCACTATGTTCACCTACCGCCAGAAACTGATGATCCTGCTGGGCCAACTGCTGCTGCTGGGCATCCAGAGTTATCCCTTGGGCGAGGACCTGTCCTCCAGTGTGGTCCACTCGGCGGGTCTGCTGGGTCACTATGCCGGCGGTCTGACTGGCGGCGAGGCCCTGTCCAAGCTGGACTTCAGCTCATCCTCCCACGAGTTTGACGCCTCCGCGGATCACGACCACCTGGGCTCCCTGGGCGATCACCTGGGCGAGGAGGGCTTCCCGGCGGACTACGGCAGCAGCGATGCCGGCGAGGAGTACGCCGAGGCCAGCGAGGTGCACTCCCACTACGAGGACCACGACCACGACCACGACCAGAAGGCCGTGCCCGGCATCGACCATGGCAAGGGCGCCTTCAGCTACAGCACTCTGTACGAGTTCAAGGATCGGGACGAGCACGAGCTGCACCACATCCAGCACCAGGCCCTCGAGCAGCAGGTGGAGCACCAGCACCAGGCGGAGCACGACCACGACCACCATTTGGACTTGGACCACCACCAGCTGGAGCATCTCTACTAAGACTGTGATAGTCTCGCACCCAAGACCTAGCAAAATGCTCAAAGATTATTGTATTCTAAATCTGTTTTTTTTTTTGTTTATTATTGATTATTGAAATAAAACTAAGTTAAAACGAATTTGAGAAACACTTTTTGGGGCTAAAAATATAAGCCAACCTAAAAGGTTATTATGCAGAGGGTATTATAATTTCATTCGAAAGATTGCATAGCGGTGAACGGCAAAAAAAGTTAGCAAAAAGCCTTTTCCCTTTTGTTTTTTTGCTAAGACAAATTGTCTAATTTTCTTTTTACCTTAAAAATCCCCTATATTGTTTTTATAGCAAGTTTATTAAATGTCTGAGTAAAACAAAGAGAATCGAAGACAATAAAAAATACAAAAACAAAACCTTTGGCTATAAACAAAATAGGCCAGTTGGATAATAATAATTTATGGTGGCTAGTCAATGGTTTTTCGATGAACCCTAGCCATCTAGCGACCATGGGAGTGGACAACCTGATGCTGGGGCAATTTGAGCTGCGAAAAGTCCACATTATCGCTGACCAAAATTCGGGGCTCGTGGATCGTTGGTATCGATGAGTGTGGCAGGTGCGAAGCGGTCAAGGTGTCCACATAGAAATGCGGCCAGGGATTTCCCAGTGACGAGGAGTGGACATTGGGCACCAGCAGCAATTGCGGCTGCTCTGTATCCGGAGCTAGCTGGAGAACCCCCGAGCTAATGTGTATGGCTGGTCCATAGGCTGCTGATATATACATAATAGTATACAAGTCTCTAATTTCAATGAAAATTACTCATACGCACCGTGGCTGGCCAGATGTTCCTGCTCCACCGCATGACCACAAGCTGAGGCTACGACAACCACCGCTAGAATAAACAATTGAACCACAAGCACTTGCATTTTGTTTGACCAACTCTTCGGGGAATCCCAGCTTTTATATTCGTCGGCGAACGGAAGTTCTTGGTCGTGGCTGAACGCCCATCGGTGACACTTTTGGCTGACTGCACCTCAAATCATCACAATCCCACACGAATCGCATGACACGTCGTCGATAAAGATCGTCGAATATATTTACAATTTGAAATCGATTACGCGTAGAGTACTATTAATTTGGAAAACACTTTATTATTTTAATATTTCACCTTAAAAGCTTTCCAAAACATTCAATAAAATGTGTTTTACTTAGTACAAGATCAATTATATTTTGCATTCTATATATTATTATAATGCCATAATTAATTTGACATTCTAAATACTTATTTAATTATATATGATATTTATTTAATTATATTTTTGATTTTTATTTAACAAAAATGGAAGCTTGACGTGTAAAAAATTTAAATGGTAATTAGCAATCTTAGTAGATCTCAACCCAGAACACTGTCCCTCTGCCAATATATCGATCTTAACCTCGCTCTCAGGGCCTACTTCTCAATCTCTTCAGATCCGGAATCGGAATATGAATCGCCACCGATTCGTTGGGAGTTAGCAACAGGGTGCTAATTTCGTTTAGAATCAATAACACAATGAACCACGCCGGTGGAGAGCCATGAAAAAACCCCGAAAAAGTATAGATATTCATCAGCAGACAGACAAGTCGTCTGAGATTCTGGCGATTACATAAGATTATAAAGACATAAAGACCTGATATCGGTTATGTTGATTTATTTTATGTACACATCGATCGAACAAAAAAAATACAATTATTCGCTTTAGAACTAGAAAAAAAATAGTTGAGTACGGTTAGGTTAGGATGGAGTTCTGGATCCCCCAAGTGGCATAGATCTGCAAGGGTTCCACGACCTAGCAGCCCACCAGCTTCTCGAAAATGCCGCCACGCTTCCAGCCGCCATTGAATCCGCCAGAGAAGCCAGCATTGGAGCCACCATTGTAGCCACCGTTGTAGCCACCGTTGTAGCCTCCGTTGTAGCCAGTGTTGTAGCCACCATCGTAGCCACCACTTGATCCGGAGGATGCGGAAGCGGAGGAGGAGGCACTGGAGTAGCCGGACTGAACGGCCGGTGGTCCGTACACCTGGGCGGGGGCACGGTCCTCATCGACAATCAGCTTGATGGTCTTCACCACCTGTTGGCTCTGCGGCTGCGGGGCGTAGGAGACGGGAGCGGGTGCGGGGGCGTAGCTGATGGGCGCCGGAGCTGGGGCCGCGTAGCGCACCACTGGCGCCGGGGCGGAATAGGACACAGCGGGAGCGGCCTGGATGCGAACCACGGGAGCGGGAGCAGGGGCGGAATAGCTGACAGCGGGAGCAGAGTAGGTCACGGGAGCAGGAGCGGAGTAAGTCACCGGAGCGGGAGCTGGAGCGGAGTAGGTCACAGCGGGAGCAGCCTGAACACGCACCACTGGAGCGGGAGCAGAGTAGGTCACAGGAGCGGGAGCAGGAGCGGAGTAGGTCACTGCGGGAGCAGGAGCGGAGTAGGTCACAGCGGGAGCTGGAGCAGAGTAAGTCACAGCGGGAGCAGGAGCGGAGTAAGTCACAGCGGGAGCAGGAGCGGAGTAGCTCACAGCGGGAGCTGGTGCAGAGTAACTCACTGGAGCAGGAGCGGAGTAGGAGCTGGCACTGGCGCTGGAAGAAGCACTCGAAGAGTAGCCTCCATAGTTGCCACCATAGCCGGCCGAACGTCCGTAATCGTAAGAGGGCTGCTCCACCACCTTGATGACCTTGATGACCTGCTCGCCACCGCCATAGCCGCCTCCATAGCCACCGCCATAACCACCTCCATAGCCGCCTCCATAGCTGCTGCTGCTGGCGGATGACGAGGAGGAGGAGCTGCCATATCCAGAATTGTACACCGGACGGCTGGGCTGGCTGTAGTAGCCCTGGTTGTATCCTCCGGAGTAGCCACCGCTGCCATAGCCGCCACTATAGCCACCACCACCGCCGCTGGAGTAGCCACCGCCGCCGGAGCTGCCGCCACCCAGACCACCGCCAATGGCCTTGAGCAGGGCCAACTTGGCGCCCAGGAGGGCGTCCGAGGGAACTGGGGCCGCGATGGCCAAAAGGGCTAGCGAAACGCAAACGTACAGCTTCATGGTAATACTGGATATGCTGGTGATGCTGCCGGCAACCTGAACGAAACTCAACTGATGTCCCAAATCGAGACGGGGCACTAATTTATAGTCGGCCAGCAGTTCGTACCCATCTCACCTGTGTGTTTGTGTAGTTCTAACCTATGCTGCGGCCAACGATACGAGATCAACCCCCCCTCCCCCTCCCCAACCGAATATTGCTGTTTGCTTAATTCATAAATGGTTACTTATGGGCCAAGACGAGACAAGACGACAAAATAAATCAGATATATGGGCGGGGCTGTGAGCCACCGGCTGTCTGTCACCTCAACTACTTAACCATCAAGTGAGATATTTTCTCGCATCTCCCGTGGCACGGCAAAAAATAGTTAAATAAATCCACGGCCCAAGAGCGTTACGGATTCGCAAGAAGCTCAGGTAATTCCCCAACACTTAAATTGGCACTGAGGAAAATGTTTGGATACATTTAATTGTCAGAGATTTTAAGAGCAGATAAAAAACGATCTTAAACATTCCCAAAAAGGTTCGTTTTATTTGATAACAAATTATATATATAGGTTTTAATCGACACTAAATATTAATCAAACTAAGGTATGCAATTAAGGAAATCCTATGAGTCATTCAAAATTATTTTAGAATATTTGTTATCTGTGACATGGAATCTTAAGAATGTCAACAAACGATTGGGAAATTCAGCCAGACAATTCAATGTGAGTTGCATATTTATTGTCTCATTTATTTATTGTCCCAATTTGAGTAAAGGTGTTTTCAGGCATTAAAAACTTGATGTACACATTTAATTATACAGTAGTATTAGTCACATTTCAATTCATTCAATTGATTTATTTCAACACTAAACAAGAACCATATTAAAATGCATATATGTTTAAGAATAAAGATGTCTAAACATTTTTTTTCGGATATGTATTTCCAAAATACACTTTTGAGAACTAAACACAAACCTTATCATTTCTCGCAGTGCACGCTGGCACATGTGCGTGGCCAGTGTATTGGCATTGTCACTCATTCAGCCCCCGAATCCAATGCATGACTCCACGTAGTCAAGGGGCTCAACGGGTTGAATACTCGCCAATATCCAAATATCCAAAAAACTAAAAATCCAAATAACCCAAGCACGCCCAGAAATCTTCGCTCATCTCGGATTTCGACCCGAAAACCTGTCCTCGTCGGCCACGTCCACATTTTCTGACGTATTTCCTCCCATCTGAGATCAAATATTACATATATGTAAATGTCGGTTTTGGGCGCTTTATTCTTTGTTTTTTCATCTATTAATCTAGACTGTTATGCAAATTGGGTCAACAAAAAGAAGCATCAAAGCACCAAAGATGTTTCATCTGGCGAAATTTTATGTTCCCATAATTTGACAACTGGTTTTTGGCCAAACACGAGAGTATCGTAAAATCCACTTTTAAGGAATGATGCGTGGAATTTTAGGCATACAAATTTGCAGCATACATAAGTAATTTTTATTTGTGTTCTTTTTCAACAAGATGCTGGGATTCTTTTTCACTAGCTTCACAGCTCTTCAAATACAGTGCGTTAAGAAAATATTGTGCTTTTTATTGCAACTATAAAATATTTATAAAATAGGAAAAAGTTCTAGATTTATACATACATATATACATAAAAATATTTTTATAAAATTTTCAAAAATAAATTGTGCAAGATTAATTTTTAAATCAATTTGGATTTTATGAAACTATCGTACAAAAATCTGTTTTGTAATAATGTTTTTATTCTCAACTTACTATCTTGCAATATTTCCAAAAGTATCTTTCATAAAATAACAGTATAATTGTAACTAATAATAAAATTAGTTTTCACTATGCTTAAAAACGAATTACTTGATATTACTTTTAATGTGTTACCCTGGTTAAAAACAATGTATGCTGAAAACAGCCTTACATTTCAGAAACTTGGTGTATTTTCTCTATTTTTGTTATATTTCTTTTTTAGCGAGCATGGCAAATATTAAATCATAGCCAATTTACACATTCCCATTTACAGACTGTGTGGTTTTTTCTCCCGGCATTTGTGGTGTGGTGTATTTCGTTGGCCTTCTGTGGTCTCAATGGGTCGAGTGGTCCAAGTGGTTGGAGTGGCTGCGACATATGTGCCTGGAGATCGAGATGGAGCTGGTCCAGCTCAACCAATTTGCACCCATCGGGCGTACAGCATTCTCGGCCGAACATTTTTTTTTTTGGGCTTGGCTCTTGTGACTTTGACTTTGGTTTTGCTTTTGGTTTTTGGCACTTGATTACCATTAACAGTTTTGTTGGGCTCACGATCTGCAGTTAGGTGTGAAGGGGGGGAGAAGGGTTAAAGCCGGCTAACTGAGTGCGTAAACAGCACTCAACTCTCGGTTTCATTCAGAGGCCCAAACGAAGGTCACTAGGGTTGGGTGCCCCCTTTTTTGTCGGGGGAGGCGACTCTTCAATTGGGTGCGAAAATGTATTTTGTAATTGTCAAGAGTTGAATTGCAAGTGCCGGGCATTACATCCCATATTTACGAGTAAACATAAAAAGAATGCCAACAATTAAAATATAAACATTTTTGTGTATACTTTAATTTAGCACACTTTTGGGCATATCAATTCATGATTTGTGTTCTGTTGGTTCCTTAAATGTTTCCCTAGTCTCTCCGCTTAAAGGTATTTTTTTTAATTTGCTGAAAATATCTGAAGTCACGAAAAAAGTAAGCAAGAAATTTATTTAAGAATAAGTATTTGCTTTTAAACATTAAGGGCCCTATTTGTCAATTAATAAGCTAACATTCTTTAAAATGCTACCTCTTTTCTTATAAAGAGGTATTTTAAAAACACAAACTAAAAAACCTTCAATATGCACATTCAATATTTTCCTATAAAGCCCCTTAATGTTTAAGAAGATTCATTTAAAATGTACCTGTTTTTAAATATAAACAACCCCATACTTAAATCGTTATTTATACATTTTATTACAAATCGTTAACTTTTAATTACAAATCGTTGGTTAAAATTATCAAAAAAAATGGACCACTAGGTGTTGTGGTTTCCTCGTTCTCTAGCAGAGTCCTCCGGCCAGGCCGAGTGGAGGTGGTGGGGCTCCGAATCCCAGTCCAAAGCCACCGCCGGCGCCATAGCCAGCTCCAAATCCATAGGAGGCGGGCAGGGCAGCTCCACCGCCGAAGGACCCTCCATAGCCACCCAATCCGCCGGTCAGACCACCACCGAACCCACTCACATATCCAGCACCACCGCCCAAAACGGGAGCAGCACCGGCGAAGACGGGAGCAGCCACCGGCGTGGACACCGAAGTGACCACTGGAGTAACCACGGCGGAGGTGGATATGGCAGGGGCAGCTCCCACAAAGCCACCGGAGTAGCCACCTCCATAGCCTCCAGTGTAACCACCGCCAAAGCCTCCGGAATAGCCACTGCCATAGCCTCCGCCAACGACTCCTCCTCCGACTCCTCCTCCTGGCACCACCGACACCTTGATCACCTTCACCACGTTCTCAGGTGCGTATCCATAGCCGGAACCATATCCAGATCCATAGCCTGATCCATATCCGTAGCCAGAGCCATAACCGGAACCATAGCCAGAGCCATAGCCAGAGCCATAACCATATCCAGAGCCGTAGCCAGAGGTGGTTGCTCCGCCCAGCAGAAGATTCAGCTTGCCGAAGGTGGCCTCACCCGGTTTGACCAGAGAAACCATCACGATCAATATCGCCGCCAATCCCAGGTAGAATTTCATGATGATGTAATGTGTTAGTCCTCTGTTGTCCGAGCTTATCCAAAATCCACTCTTGACTTCGCCACGTCGACTGATGAACTCTGGTGACCATACCATCGACTTTATACCCAGCCAAGTCGGATTCCTCCACAATAGTCGGTGATTGTTCTGTACCGAAACCCGCAATGTGTGAAATTACTCAATGGGTTTCGTGGAGCCCGGGATAGGTGAACTAGTCTCACAAATATTTGTGTCAAAGTCAGTTTTTCACTCTTTGTGGTCTTGGGATTCCGCAGAAGGTTTGCGTTTATCTAGAACCCAAGAAAACTAACGCAATTTTTGGGCAAATATTGCAGCTTCAAGGGAATTAACACTTTCGTTTTCTTCAGGGCGATGATGCAAGCGGATCTGCTTTGGGGAAACAGTCCGGTATTGTCATTGGCCGTGGGAACAAGTCAATTACTATAAAGTAACGAAATGGAAATTAATAAGGCATTCTTCAATCTGAAGGTTACCAATTTCATTTCAAAAGAATCTATAGTTTTATTAAAGTTTAATTATAATTTCCAATTTATACCGAAGAACTCGCGTTTATTACATTTTTAAGCTCAGTACATTTGAACTCTTGGAAAGGCGATATAATTTAAGGATTATTTTCACAGTGAAAGAAAAATGAAAATCGAAAAGGTTACTATTCTTGGAATCAGGATCTAGATGGCCATCAGCCAGGCCAAAACTAGATTGTCAGCTACTAAGTTACGAGCGCCTCAAAATCAAGGAAAAATTCTCAGTTAGTGTTATAGAGTGTTTGAGTCCAAACAGAGGCAGTTCCCAAATCGCAACCGCCCAAAAATAGGATGAAGAGGCAGCCCAGTCCGTTGAGGAATCTTCGGCAGAAATGCGGGGGCAGTTGCACCAGTGACGATGATCTGCCGGAGGTCAAGTTAAACACCACGCCGCTCATAGGAGTGCCTTTCATCCGGAGCCGCCTAAAGCCGCCGAAATCTCAGAAGGGCATGTACTACAGTACGGACTGGGACAAGTCGGCGCTGGTCAGCAATTTCCAGAAAAGGGGATGGCTGCAGGTGCCGTCCTTTAATGGCGATTGGAACTTCTACTGGGCCTGCACCCAGAATTGTCGCTATATCTTCGGCATCGATCATCCGTATCGCATGCGATCCGATCAGTAAGTAATCAGTAAGATAAAAATGGAGTGTATGAACTGGGATCTGCCCGCAGAGTCATTAACCACTTCCCGAACTCCGTTGAGCTGTCGCGCAAGGATCTGCTGATCAAGAACATCAAGCGATATCGCAAGGATCTGGAACGGCGCGGCGATCCCCTGGCACAGACCCATTCGCCGGACACCAAACTGGGCATTGGAGGCACCCGCTACAAGCACCTGGACATCATACCCATGACCTTCGTCCTGCCCTCGGACTACCAGATGTTTGTGGAGGTCTTCCATCGCAATCCGGCCAGCACGTGGATCGTGAAGCCGTGCAGCAAGTCGCAGGGCGTGGGCATTTATCTGGTGAACAAGCTGTCCAAGCTGAAGAAGTACGCCTACGAAGCCCGCACCTTCTATCCGCAAATCAATCGGGACACCTGCGTCATCTCCAAGTACATCGACAATCCGCTGCTCATCGGCGGCAAGAAGTTCGACCTGCGGCTCTTCGTTCTGGTCACGACGTTCAATCCGCTGAAGGCATATCTCTACAAGGAGGGCTTCTGCCGGTTCTGCACCGAGAAGTACGACCAGACCGAGATCGACAACGTTTTCATGCACTTGACCAATGTCAGTATCCAGAAGACGAATGTGAGTCAATGTTACATTTACATATTTGGTTCATAATTAATTCGTATATATGTTGAACCTTCAGCAAGAGTACAATTCAATTCATGGTGGCAAGTGGCCACTCCAGAATCTGTGGCTCTATTTGGACAGCATGCGCGGCGAGGGCGTTTCAGAGATGCTGTGGAGCCGCATCACCGACACCATCAGGCACACTCTGGACGCAGTGGCTCCGGTGATGGCCAACGATAGGCACTGCTTTGAGGTCTATGGATACGACATCATCATCGACAACAACCTGAAGCCCTGGCTGATCGAGATCAACACGTCGCCATCGATGCACTCGACCACCACCAACGATCGCATGCTCAAGTCGCGGCTGATAGACAACGTCCTGGACGTGGTGGTGCCGCCAAACTGTTTTCCCGAGTAAGTTAACCTCCTCCAATATAAGTATTTGGTTTGGAACAATCACGGTTAAAAATATCCTGGTTTCGTACATATCACTCGTTATGATATATTTGCATATGCTGAGTGAAAATTAAAAGGATTTTAATGTGAGACTAAAGAATTCGCGTTTAAGACCACTTGAGAATTACCCCTAACTGATTATTTTTACTATCCAAATCCCTAGCGAGCACTGGGACAAGACGCCCAATCCGGAGCTCCTGAAAAACTTCACCGTACTGAAGCCCATTCCGGCTTTAAAGCCAACGACAGAGGCGCCAATCCGCCGGAAGATTAGATCCTCCAAGAAGCGCAAGTCCAAGTGCACAGCTATCGCACCTGACGTCGTCGGCTCATCCACTCCACCGCCCGCCGAGGGCGAGCCAAAGATTAAGAGCAACAAGAAAAGGCGGTGAATGGGGAGGTTGTTAAATGGAAACCAAATCGGTTGGACTGGTGTTTTTAGAAATTTTTGTAACTTTTAATTCGCAACTCCGTATTTCGGTATCGCACAAATTACTTAGGGTGTACACAAAATTAAAGTATCGTATATATTCGCTATACATGTAAGCCTACAAACTAATTCGACTTAATCGTAGTGGTTCGTTTTAAGAAGTTAAGCTGCTTGTCTTTTTTAGGGACCTAAGCCGAGGTCGGCTGCACAATACTCCTTGTTTAAGTTTAATATTCGTTAGAACAAAAAAAATTGCTTCACTTACTCATATATATATATATGTAGCTATATTATATGGTGGTGGCTATAAGTTTTACTTTTCGCTTCTTGCAAATCATCACGTTTGCACACACAAAATGGCGTCCGCTTTAAAGCTTAACAAAACAAACAAACAGGTTCTATTTACAAATCAAAAAAATATATATGGTTTATAAAAAAAAAAGTAGAATAAATGACAATGGAAATTCTTAAGACCTTTCGTAGTTTTGGAATTTGATGTTGTTTTCTTTCTTGTTGGCTTCTGCGTAAACTAATTATGTACAAAGGCGTTTGACTTGGACTTAGAGATAAAGCTTAATTCAATCGAAAATCGTTTTTGTTTAAACAATTAGTTCTAAGCACTTAACAAATGGGTAGCGCTTTACGGGGGAATACTTTCCTTACTCGTTACTCTCTTGGTTTCTGGTTCGCCAATTATGAATATCTCTATATATATTGTGAACTTAATCTATATGTTTGTCAGGGTGGGTCAATTGGTTGAAAATCTGATGAATCTAAATATTATTCTTGGCAATTTACAAACATAAAATCAAGTTTATCCTTTTCTAGCGGACCTTTGAAATTATAATGGAATAGTAATGTAAATATTATCCTGGTTCTTTCCGTTTAGCAAGAAAACGTCTAGGTTTTGTTTGCTTAATCAAATATCACGGATAAATATATTAATTATTCAGGATATTAAATAAATTAAGTATTAAACTTTTCCTATGTTTTGGTGGAATTACAAATTCTTTTTAAACCTTAAAACATAAAGTATATCTTTCCTTTTGCCTTCATGGAATTGCCATTTATGGCTTACAATTTTTGTTGAATATAAATGTTTTACTTTAAAGATTACAATTAGCATCAACCCACCCCTAATGTGTGTGTGTGTGTTTTGTGGAAATTCCATTTCAATTAAACAATACAAAACCCCCAATATGCAATGTGTTCAGCACTCGGTGGCAAAGTAGAAGACCTCCACCTCCTCGTTGACCTCGCTGAGAATGACCCGGTTCTCGGCTAGCACATCGCGAGTGGCGCGCGCTTGCGCCAACACCTATAGTCACACCTTGGAGGCGTGCGGCTGGGAGCCGGCGGCAGTGCCGTATTGCGATTGACCGGTCATCTTCTGGACGGTCTGGTAGGTGGGCTGCTGCTGCTGCTGGAGTTGCTGCTGCTGATGTGGCTGCTGCTGCTGGAGGAGCAGGTGGGCTGGTATACCCTGCTCCCTTATGGTCACCTGGGTCACGAAGGGACCACGACTGCGGGCACTGCTGTTCAGGCTGGCTGGGGAATAGCCATTCATGGCCGCCGCCTTCCAATGCGGCACATTGATGGGCGACGAGGAGGAAGAGGTGGCACTGCTGCTGTGACTGTGCTTGATGCTGCCCACCCTCTGCTGCTGCACCGTCTCGTACTCGTAGTAGCTGCTGATGGGACGCACTCCTCCTCCGTTCGACTGCGATTGTGGCTGGGCCGAGGATCCTGGCTGCGATCCGGAGCTCGTCGAGTGCATGCTCACATCCTGCGAGCGGGCACTGCGCTGCGAATGGTAATGCTGATGGCGGCGACTGCGAAAGCAAGCGGGTAATGTTTATGAGTAATTTACAAAATGCAAGTAAGCATTGTTGTTTGGTGTGCGTCAGCAAAAAACAAACAATTTAACAAGCATTACGAGTAAGCAGCCAAAATCCATTAACTTAGTGATGAGGTGCAGTGCAATTCGGCTGTTAGTTTGAAGCTTAAATAAATATAGTGATAGTAGCAAGCAATTTAACTATTAAAGGAACTTTTCAAATTAGCTATGGCTTAATTTGTTTCCAGAACTTTTAATATATTTACTTTACAACTAAACTTTAAAGCGATAGCATCAAAAATAAAGTTCAAATTTTCGAAAAGTCGTTTTATTCTTAACGTTATAAAAACGGGCTATTCCATTTAAAATCTTCCTTTAATGTTGTATCTAAATAATCAGCTCTATGGTGGTTATTTTGCAAAACACATTAAAAGAATATTCTTTTTAAGAGACTAGCGTAATTTAATTGTTGGTTTTATATTGACTAATTCATGATTAAATCAATAAATTATTTTTATGATGTAACATTTTTCTAATAATTAATACAAACACTACTTTTCAATTTAATGCTACTTTCTAATTCATCTCAACTCGTAACCAGTTACCAAAAAACCGCCTTATATCTACGAACCGCACTGCACTGGAGTATCTGTGTGTGTGTGGTGTGGTTGTGGGTGATACTGTGGTAGTGTGTGTGTGGGTGGGTTACCTTTCCGCCTCCACCTTGATGCGCTGCCGGATGACCTGCTGTCGCATGCACTCGAGCGTTGACTCCGAAAGCGTTTCCGAAATGGATGTGGGGGAATCGCCTCTACTGCTTCGTTTTGGTTATTTTTACCAGTGTAATTGTTATAGTAGTAGTAGTAGAGTGTGTGTGTGCAGGTGAGTGTGCGTACGCGTGTGTGAGTGGGTGGTTTACACATGGACAACAACATAGATACGGACACGCGGAACAGAGAGAGAAAAAACGGGCGAGAAAGAGAGATACGACACATACAATGTGGTGTTAAATGGCTAATAAAGTTAGTTAAACAAACAATCCCGTCACCGGCAAAAATGAATGGATGCAAAGGACATGCGCGGGCCCGCTCTCACCTAATCTGGTGCTGCTGATGCTGCTGGTGCAGATCCTCGTAGTTGGCATAATGCTGATAGCGATGGTTAAAGATGTCGTTCTGATGGATGCCGCCATTCAGCTGGGCGCCATTGCCCACACCATTGGGAGCTGGAAGCGGTGGCGGTGGCTGATACGCCGGCGGCTTGCCATTCCTCTCCAGGGCAGCCAGTGCAGCGGTGGGTATCTGTTGGTGTTGCTGCAACTGCTGCTGCTGTTGCAACTGTTGCTGTTGCTGCTGCTGCACATGCGGCGATGTGGCTGTGGAAACCACCGAACTGGGTGGCGAAATGGTCACCGCATAGTTGTCGACCGGCACTACGCCATCCTTGCGATTCTTGCCAAAGCGAAACATGTGCCCAATGCCACGCAGAATGCTCGGCTTCTTGGCCCGCGACGACTTGCTGCCATGTTTGCCGTCGTTCAGGGAACTCTGGAAGGGTCCATTGCGCTGCGAGGCAAAACCGCCCTCGTGATCGCCGTCCTCCAACAACCAGGTCTTACGGGGCTCTAAACGATGGGGGTTTAATAAATTTGCCATATTTAAAATGTAATTGTATAATCAAACTCACTGTTGGCATCTGGTTCGCTGACCACCGCCGCCCGCAGACTATCCTCCCTGCCACGTCCACGCGGAGCTCGCAACGCCTGATGGCCACGCGGCTCATCCGACATCTGCAGCTCCTGCACCATCGTCTGCAGCGACTCCAGCGACGAGGATTTCTTCATGCCCAACGATGGACCCAGATCGCCCAGCTGATCCCTGGCCTCCGCCTCGGCTGCCGCCAGTTGCTGCTGCGTCTCCCTCTGCTCGATGCTAGAGGCAGTCTTGGCATGTTTATAGCCCGAAAACTGGGCATTTGCACTGGCTATGCGAGCCGTAAGCGATTCAATCGAGCCGCCGTACACAGCCGACTTGGTCAGCTGAATGCGTCGCTCGCGCTCCCGCTCCTCGCGCAATTTCTTATTCCGCTGATAGGTTCCAGTTTCACGGGCATCCAGCGCCGCATGGTGTTTCTCCGAGATGCTGCGACGTCCCAAGGCATCGCGTGAGAAATGCTCCACACCCGAGTTGGTTTCCAAACTCAGTTGCGACGAATAAGTGGCATCAAAGTTGCTGGACGTCGACGGTGTGCCCGGCACAACGGGATTAATGGCTGGCCCCTGGTTCCCGGCGCCCAAATTTTGAGATGGATTGGCACTGCTCGCGTTGCAGTGTTGCCCATCGTGCGGACGCGCCGGCAAAGTTCTGTGTTAACATTTGGTTATATAAAGTTGACAAAGATTTGTAAAGGTTGTTAGGCTTACGGTGACATGGGCTCGGCATCGTCCTCGATTAGCAGGGCCGTATTGCCATGACCAGTGAGCAAATGCAGCTGCGCCGGCGACCAGTTGTCATTGGTGGCCATGTAGTAGCTCTCGTTCCTCAAAGCTGCACTGCTGCAAATGGGTGCTGGTGGCAGACGACGTTGCTGCTGCTGTTGTTGCTGTTGCTGCTGCTGCGAGGCATGTGGCGGCTGCTGCTGTGAGGACGGCTGCGCTGAGTTCGAGGAGCAAATGCCACCGGTTAGGCGATCTAAAACGGGATTGCTCCATCTGCAAGACAAGATAATTGTTTAGTCTTTGTTTTATGTATTCCATAATCTCCCAGATCACCCACCTGTTCATCTCATTGCCGGCACTGCCCCCACTTCCACCACCATTGCAGCGCTGCTCCCGCTTCTCTGGACTCAAATAGATGACGGTGGCTCCCGAATTATCGCTGGCATTGGAGCTGCTGTTATTGTTATTGCCGCTTCCATTCGAATTACTGCCGCTGCCGCCGCTGCTATTGCTATGGCTGTGACTGCTGTGGTCCAGGATGTCGCTGGAGCTGGCCGATCGCAGAATCTTACGGCCCACCAGCAAGGTTATGGTGCCTGGATGTTTCCCAGGGGTATTGACCATTGCCCGACGCAGTGTCTCCATGGCCTCGGCATTGTTTTGGCCACGCAACGATACTCCATTCACGCTCAACAGCTGATCGTTCATCCGCAGGCGTCCATCGCGCGAAGCCGCACCTCCGTGGATCACGTTCTTCACGAATATACCCAAGTCGCCGTCGTGCTTCATCAGTCCATTGCTGCCGCTGGAGGCACTCGATCCGGAAGCGTTCAGATTCGAGCACGTCTTGCCCTTCACACTGACTCCCAGTCCGGCCTTTTCGGTGTCGTGAACGGGAATGTGTAGGGTTAGCTCCTCGCGGGAGTGCCAGCTGTTACTGCTCGGCGGTAGGCTGTCCTGTTTGGGTTTAAAAAAAATAGGCATTAGTTTAGTTCAAAGATCGAAAGGCACATTCCAACAACTTACATTTGAAGCCGCTGACTCGCTGCCTGCATCGATAAAGTGCTGAGATTCATTGAGCTGCGACTGCTGCTGATGTGTGAACAGAGATCGTGCGCTGCTGGATTTCTGGACTGGCACCGGCGGCGGTGGTCCTGGAGGAACGGCTGCAGGTGGCGCCTGTGCAGCTGGTGGAGCCACCGCCACTCCAGCGCTCTTCTCTGCCGGTTGGTCAGCCTGCTCCGCCAACTCCTGCTGGCGGGAGACCACTATCCTAACCGTTGCTCCCGCTGGCATGCCCCGCAAAATGGCCACCACATCCGTTTGTGTTTTGCCCGTCATTGGGGTGCCATCCACCTCCAGCAAACGATCGCCAGGCTTCAGGCGACCATCCTCGATGGCAGCTCCACGTGGCAGGATGTTCTTGATGTAGATGGGACAATGTCCGCCAGCGGGATTATCCCGTGTTGTAACCGAGAAACCCAGACCATTGGGTCCCTTCTTCAGCAGAATTTCAATCTTCCTGCCCAGCTTGCGGGTATTGGCCACCTGCAGTGAGGTGCCGACTGGAGCAGCATGTGGCTTGCGGGTGGGCGACACGGTGGCCACTTCCACCATCTCGGCCACCTTGGAATCTCGCTGCTGGCGGCGATTGCGATCTCCGCGCAGCACTCGCACCCTCAGTTCCGAGCTCTCCAAAGCCCGCCTTAGTTGCTCCTGGACCTGCGATTCGGTAAGTCCGATCAGCTTAATGCCGTTGATCTCCAGGATGCGATCATCGCGGCGTAGTCGACCTCTTTCGGCTCGGCTGCCCGGCTCCACATGTTGCACCAGCAATCCTCCGCCATGCTCCTTGTCCGGCAGAGCAGTGAGTCCCAGCGGACTGCCGTACTCGTTGATGATCAGCAGCATTTCGCCATCCTTCTCGCGGATGGACTCGTACGCCTGACCCAATGGCTCCTTCCGCTTGCTCTCCCTGGGCAGCGACTTGCTGGAGTAGGCGCCACTCTGGCCGTGTCCCGAATGGTGACCCTGCTGGTAGGTCTGCTGGGCTAGCTGCTGATTCTGCAACTTCTCGGCCGCCTCCATCCACTTGTAGCCATGGCCATCGCCCAGAAACTGCATGGACAGGCGACCGGATCGCGCGAATGGCTGGTGGTTACCGGAGGAGCCGCCACCGCCATTGGTCGCATGTGGCTGCTGTTGATGGAGCAGCTGCTCCTTCAGCTGTTGGCTGGGATCGTCGTCCTCCTCCCACTGCGGCGATAGCTGACCACCGGCCTTGTCCAGCAGCAAACGTTCGGGAGAATCCCCGCCAGCGTAATGGGGGGCTGCTGCCGACCAGCGCTTGTTACTGCCCTCCGCCTTGAGCGAGGCCAGCAGATTGGGATCACTGCTGCGGCGCACCATCAGTCCAACTCCCAGTCCAGCCATCGGACCCGACGTGGTGCTGGTGACCTCGATGTGCGGCGTGGACAGATCCCGCGGACAGGTGGGCGCCTCCGTGTTGGTGGGATCCCGGAAGATGTCCGGCGAACCTGTGCCCACGGACGAGCTGCCCGACGCCCCATCGCCGCCTCCCTGCGGAACTCCCGGATCCGGTCCTGGGTCATCGAAGTGCGCCAATATCTGCTCCCGGTCGTCGGCCACGTCGCGTACACAATCATCCGGATCGAGGATGCCCGACTGTGTCTGCAGATGCGTCACTGTCACCCAAGAATCGGGCTGTAAATAGGCAACGAAACATATGAATTAGTTTTACGATTCTGGATAAGTGGAAAAATAATTAGAAATTTGTAAATTGCGCCAAAAAACCCAACATATTAAATGAAATCTTAATTTTAACTTTTGTTTAATAAACCTAAATGTAAGCTTTCTCAAAAACGCAATATATTTTTTTATTAGCCAATTTTTGTATAAAGAATAGTTTGTATTTTGTTTGCAATAATTCTATTTATATGGATTTTGTTTAAACTTATATTTATTAAAACAATTGTTAAATCCTATTTTTAATTTTAAAGCAGCACCTTTGGTGTTTCATTGTAATACTGTATTTTCTAAATAAAATTTTTTTAAAGGCCTGCAGCTCTTGCATTTGTAAATCCCATTACACTAGGGGCCATGGAAGTCGCGGAAGTCTTTCCCAACATCCAAGCCCTCCCCCAAAACTGCAATCTCCCATTTGCAATCTGCAATCTGGAAGAGGCAATTGGAGACGCATCGTCTCGCGGAGTCGCTTCTCACATCCCATTTGCACCATCTGCACATCTGCGCTTCCGCATGGAGCAACCACTTTACGTGTTGAGTCACTCTGTCGTCCAAATCTCGGCTCACGTGGGCTCAACTTGAACTCCGTGAGCGACGCCTAATAAGCCAGACCACGACGACCTCCAGCGCCCCAAATTGCAATCTTCTCGTTGAGCCAAGGAGCTGGCGTTGCTTTTGGCATTCCGATGGATTCCACAACAAATGCCAAATGCCGGCCACTAACAACAAGTGCACTTAGAGAAAATCTCATTGAATCTTTGTATAGACAAAAGAACTTTCAGTAGAATTTTTAAGGTATGTTTTATCAATTGATTAATAGTTTTAATATTATTTGAAAGTGACTATTATATTCTGTAATATGTAAATATTATTTTTTCATTAGCCATATTTATAATATTTTCTCTATGTGCATAAGAAACAAAACAATTGCATCATGGCTGGAAACCAGTCAAAAGCGTTGGAGGCTCAGCGACTGAGACGAGCTGCAGAACTGGAACGTCGAACGTCAACTTGGCGCAATAATTTCGGCTATTTTTCGCGTCTTTTTCTTTATTTCTTTTTTTTTTTTGGTTCGCCTTTGTCTTTTTTTTGGTTTGTTTCATCACATGGTTTGTTCGATGTTTTTGTGGGTCAAAGAGCGCACATTAAGGCATTCTATCTATTGGATGCAGCACCGATTTTAGAAATTCCAAATCGCGATTCGCCGCGGAGAATGGAGCCTTAAGAATGCAGTTGGGGCACAGTGGCTATAAAACCGATTAGATTTCAAATTAATTACAAAATAATTTTATGTTATAAGGTTAATCTATTAACCGTTTTTCTTTTAAGTTATTGAATTTAAACTATTCGCTTTGATTGATACCATTTAATAAAGGAATAGTCTACGGTTTATCAAACTTATATTTTTTATTTGTCTATACATTTCATTTTCTTTCGCCCCACTGTTCATCGGTGATTATATTTCTTTGATCATTTGTCAATGGAAATTATGCGGCAACGAACTGACAACTCGATCTCGTTCTCATATATCATAAAAAGATTGAAAATGCAAAGTGGGCGTGGCCGCGGGGCTAACTCAAGTGTTGATCGAACTGGAGGAATGTCAAATGAGATTGGGATTGGATTTGTCATGTGTATGCACGGCACGTAGAAAAATATATTATCAAAATATCATATTGCCATATTTAGAAAATATCAATGTAATTTTTTTTTTCTTATCAATATTATATTATAAATCTTTGATGATATTTTAATATTTATTATTGCTCAAATATTCTATCAACGATTGTATGGTTCTTATTTATGGATAATAATATTACAAAATGTGCTGAGATACGGAAGGCATAGTTCTATATTACAAAAATATTTAGCAAAGTTAGTGGGGATTGATGATCCTAAAATATTTTTACCTGGCACTCTTCTTAGATTTTAAGCATTATATTATTGTTTAAAATTTATTATTTTTTCTTTGTACTCTGATTATTTTGCTGATTTCTCTCAGTGGGTACACCTTATGAATCTTGGACTTGTGCATTTTTTGCTTTTATCTTTGATTCTGCGTATTCCTATATCTTAACATCATTGTATCTTTACCTTCACACACGAATAGGCCGAGGGCGATGGTGGTCGCTTGGGCAGCGTGAGGGAGTAGGACTTGTGGAGGTGCCCGTGGGGAATCCCTTCGTGCTTGGCGGCCACCTTGTAGGTGTGTCGCCAGCCGAAAAGACCGCCCAACTTGTTGGCCAGCGCCGGACATTTGGGTGGTACGTCGAACATGACGTCGGTTGATCCAAATCCGATCTTTGGTATTTGCTTATTGGTTTTATATATATTTTTATATATTATCGATTTATTTTCCCGTTTTATTGTTCGCTTTTCGTTGGCTTTTCTTTGTCACTGCCGATTAATTGTGATTTGAGGAACATTTCACCGCTATATGACATTAAAAATGTATGTATTAATTGTGATTCAACGCTTAGTCACTGCTTTGTGCCATTGTTATTATTTTATTATGGTTCTTGATTTATTTTTCGTTCTTATCGGTGATGCAATGCGGCAACTGTTAAGAGGCCCCCTATCAAAAACGCTATCAAAATGCAGTGTGAATTGGCTTCCTTATCGGAGGCACACGGAAATGCTATCTTCGGCACACTCAAAAACAAAACTCAAGTCTGCGACATTGGAATTCAAAGTTACTGTTGATTCTGGGAAAGATATAGGGGATGGCGCCAATAAAATTGGAGCTTTCTTTTGTGATGAAATTTATAAAATAAATTCCAAACAAAAACACTTCAGATTCAATAGCCATTAAATACAACAAATCAGAGTATTTCCAAAATAAACAAGAAGTGAGATATCTAAACCCAAATCAAACAAAGGAAGTTGAGCTAATCAATAATAAACAAACTGAGTTATCAAATAATAAATAAGCAAGTTGAAATCGAAAGTTTAATACATGTCCCTTGATTAAGGGTTACGTTTCGGTTTAAAAACAATATACATTTTTTCAGTTTAAGGGTTTTGCTTCTTGTATTATTTTTTATTGCTTTTTTGTATAATTTTTTAAGACAATAACCCGCTTTTCTACTCTACACATTCACCAAAAATGTAACCCCATTTATCATTTGGGTCTACAATTATTTTACAAACTAGTTTTTCGGTTCTGAGAGTCTTGGCTGGCAGCGGCCTTTCCCAGGCAATTTTCCGGCTTGCATGGCTACCATTTTATTTCCCCTTTACATACGACTATGTGTACGCTCCTCTCTGTTCGTGTTCAGGCATTTTTCTTCTCTTTTTTTCTATAATATATAATGCATTAATATATAGATAAATCAACTGACAGCGGACAGTTGCAACAGCAAAAAGGCAGTGGCAGTTGCAGCGGCAGGTTGAACTCATTTCGCACACAAATTCGCTTTGATTATGCATCTGAGCGGCGAATGCGAATGCCGTGAGTGCAAAAGAGAGGGATGGACGGACGGAACGGGACGGGACACACCTGTAATAAATGCGACGTTCGGTTCGCAGCAACAACAACAATGAGCCGCAGTTTTGAAGCGCCAACAACGCGCTGAAGCATGACAAGATATATCTCCCATATCCACCATCCCCCGCTCGCAAATGCGATTTATTTGCTTACTAGAAATTTTAGACACAGCAAAGGCGACTCAAAAAACAGGCAAAGGCACAGATGCAGATACACATTCATATATGTTTATATAGACCCTGGAGTTCGCATAAACATTTTTCCAGGCCGAACCAATATTAGCTTAAGCGAAAATAAAAGACAAGTCGAGTGCAGAAATTAAACAAACTTTTCGTATTCGCGCATTTCACTACTGACTTAATCTACACTCAAAGAAATGTGAATGTGGTACGTTTGATGTTACTAATAATTACTAATAAATAATTCAATATTATTAGTCTTGGAGATTATATTTTCAATATATGAATTATAATAAAAACAGCAAGAAATATGTAAATGAAATAAACGTTTTGTCAAGTAAAAACTTTTATTAAAAAATAAACAATTTACAAGTTAACATTTTTTTTGTATATGTTGAAACGAATATTCCTTGAAATACACATAATTAGTTGTTCGCACGCTAATTTGAAGGTCAGAGAAGTGGAAATTCACCTGCCCATTCATTAACATTTCCATTCAAATGGAAGTGGTCATTGTGGCGAACGAGCTCATTCATTCACTCAAGCATTCATTGATCGATTTATTCGTTCTTTCATTTGGCTAATTAAAATCAAACTGTCAATAAAAGCGTACTTACTTTAAGCTAATTTTAATTAATTTGTGAGGAACGGTAAAGAAAAATGTATCTAATAATGCTTAACATCGTTAATTTATTAGTGATTTGAAAACAAAAAACCTCATAAATAAAACGTTACTTGCATTTTACAACTGGAATGCCAAGGAAAACATTTTTACGAGTCATTATATATTTAAAAAACAAAGTAAATTGGCACTCATTATGTACGTTATAAGTAATTTTAACAATCTCTTCAAATATCGATTGATTTATTTACTAAGTATAAATTGTGATCACAAACCACGCACATATTTAAATTATCAATTAGCGAATCCCTTTGTGGATACGATTTGGAAAAGCAAACGTTACCTGCATAGAAATTGCTAATACGATGATCGCCCCCCGACCATATATATAATATGCATATTATAATGAAATCAGCGCTGCCACTCCCTTGGGAAGAAATTAATTGAAAAGAGAAAAATACTCGTAAATTAGCATAAAATGCGATCATATAAAGTTTTGTGTTGCAGCCACGCCCCCGAGACATGCAAACCGTAGCCCCCGCCCTCGTCGATTCCTTTGTGCCTTTGGGAGCTTTCCGCCAGAGTTTTCAGTACTCGGGTTGGAGTTTTCTAAAAGAGTTGGCCATAATTCGCAATCAGGCCTTTAACAACCCACGAGATGCCGTGAGGT